GGATTGAGCGTATTCTTATACATATTCCAAAGATAATTGAGCTACAAGGTGGTAATGAGTATATAGAGGGGAGAGATAGGCGTTGTGTAGGAGAGCGGCCAGATTTCGGCTAAATTATTCTTGGCAGGACAAAACTTTTGTGAGGCACCTCCGTATATATATATATAACGTGTTTCACCAGTAAGCGGGCCACCCCAGTATGTGGGCCACTTCCCTATGATATCCCACATTTGCAACAACAACGCGTAATGTCTCAACAACGCAACGCGTTAAAAACTTATACTAAAGCAGATCTATTTCTTGCTATTACTAATCTTGATTCTAAACAAATTTAAAGTGAACGACGCGCTGCTGCCGCCTATAGCGTCCCACGAACAACAATCCAGCGTCGACGAGCTGGACAGCGCCCTTGAAGCGATTGGGAGCCACCAGCAAGGCGCCTAACAAAACTAGAAGAGAAGGCTATTACTATGCGTGTAATAGTCGAGGCTGAGCGAGGACTACCCTGTGGGAAAGACGACGTGCGAGATATGGCCAACAGACTGCTCCGAGAGCGTGGCGGGAAGGAGGTGGGCAAGAACTGGGTTGATAGGTTTGTCCAGCGCAATCCTGAGCTGCGTACGCGCCGGAGCCGTCCATACGATCACCAGCGAGCTCTCTGCGAAGACCCAGCGCTTATTAAGGGCTGGTTTAAGCTAGTTCAGAATATAAAGGCAAAGTATGGTATCGTGGACGAAGATATCTATAACTTTGATGAGACTGGCTTTATTATAGGCAAGATTTTATCACAGTTAGTTATCACGGGCTCAGACAAACCAGGGAGAACAAAGAAGATCCAGCTAGGCAATCGTGAGTGGGTTACGCTGATACAAGGCGTTGGCGCAACAGGCACGCGTATCCCAGCGTTTCTTATCTTCGCTGGCAAGGTTCTGATCTCTACCTAGTTCACGGAGGATCTGCCACGCGACTAGGTGATCCAAGTTAGTCCTACCGGCTAGACGAACAACGATCTAGCGCTTGACTGGCTTCGTCACTTTGATTCCCATGCGCGGCCTGTGGGGACGCATAGGCTGCTTATTATTGACGGCCATGAGAGCCACTGCTCGGTGGATTTCCGAGATCTCTGCGAAGAGATGAAGATAATCCTCCTCTGTATGCCTCCCCACTCGTCGCACCTCTTACAGCCTCTTGATGTGGGCTGCTTCTCGCCGTTAAAGCGCGCGTATGGTGATGCTATCTTGGTCTTAGCACGCAATCGCATCTACTATATTAGCAAAGAAACCTTCCTACCAGCGTTTAAAAAGGCCTATTATAAGGCTATTACACTAGAAAATATCCGCGGAGGGTTCTAAGGTGCTAGACTTTCACCGCACGATTATAACGTTGTTTTATCACAGCTTAACGTCATGCTGCGTACGCCAACTCCACCAGCGCAAGAGACTACTGCTTGGGAGCCGGAAACGCCGCGCAACGCGCGCGAAATAGAGGCGCAGGCTACGCTTATTTGAAACCGTATGCAAATCCAGCAAGGGTCTCCTACAAGTTCTCTTAAAGAGCAGATACAGCAGTTAAGTAAGGGAGCTCAGCAAATAGCTTATAATATAGTGTTAATGCAGGAGAAACTTAATCGCCTTGAAGCTACGATTACTGAAGTAACAAAGCGAAAAACTCGTAAGAGGCGCTACGTACAGGCAGAGGGGTCCCAGACAGTTAGCCAGATAGCTGATCAGATCGCTAAGGCAGAGGGTGGTAGCTATAATGATGGTGCAACGTCTGCGAAGAGGGTGCGTAGTGAACGGCGCTGCAGGCGTTGCAGCCAAATTGGACACAACTCTCGCACTTGTCAAGTAGAATTAGAGGATACAGAGGATAGCAATGCGTCTGAAGAATAATATCTTATTCTACTTAATAAAAAATATTGTGGTGGTGTTGCGCAATACTATTACAAAGATGTAATAGTTTGGGGAGGTGGCCCACATACTGGGGTGGCCCGCTTACTGGTGAAACACGTTATATATATATATATCATGTCCATCAAAAAAATTAAAGGAAGCCTCGGCTAATAAAGACAAGACGTACGGTGCAATCCACTCGATTAGTTTAAAAACCAATAATCCAACTTTCCGCTTCATGACTACTACTACTACTAGTAGGAATACATTTTCATCATCACTACATATGTACGTAGAATACATACATGCAGTCCAATCCGAGGGAGAGAAGAAAGAAAGAAAGAAAAAAAAAGTTAATCCACTTTCATATCCCCTTTCCAAACGCCAACTTTGCCTGTCCCTTTTCCACTACGCTTCCACTCCCGCCACTATTGTTACTACTACTACTACTACTACTACTACCAGATGGCCTCGCCCGCCCCCTAGACGCCTTCAATGTACCCGCACCCGCACCCGCACCTGCGCCTTTCCCTCCTCTTCTACTACTACCACTACTACCACCAGCCGTCTGCGATATCCCCGTCGTCGTCGCCATGGTCGTCCTATCTTCCTGCCGCATTTCCTTGGACAAGTCCAGCGCAAAGTGGTAGTCGGCATGTTCTGATTTGGAGACTACAGGCAGGTGCATGTTGCATTTTGGGCAGAAAAATGTCGTCTCGGGTGGTGCTGGTTCGGGGTTGCGAGGTGGACAAGTAGAAGAAGAAGAAGAAGAAGAAGAAGAAGAAGAAGAAGAAGAAGAAGAAGAAGAAGAAGAAGAAGCGGAGTGTGATTGTAGTTGGGGTTGGACTTGTGCCGAGGGTGGTGTATTTGGAGAGTTTGTATTATCCATGTGCTGGTGGTGCAGTGGCGGCGTACATGGCCTCGGGAGTTCATGGTCGTGGGCACCAGATACCATCATGTCGTCGTCGTCTAGGACATCATCATCCGAGTCCTGCTTAGTAGACTCTGCATGCGCCTTGAGCAGGACCGCTCTCGCGGCATCGAAATCCTTCTTCTTGTCGTCGCGCGCACAGAAGAAATTCGCAATGTTGCCTTTTGTTCGGCGCCGCTTTGCCGGAGGCTCACTGCTGCCGCTGCTGCTTGTCACTCTGCTGGTGGACAGCATGGCTCGTGCTTCTTCGCCGCGGACCAAGAAACCGCCGATGCCTTTGTTATTGGTGATGCCGTCTTCGAAACCACCGACGCTCAGTGAGAGGTTGGCGCAGGGCCAGGCTCTTCCGTCAACTACTATTTGGGCTAGTAGGTTCTTTGCAATGTCGAACAACATGGCTTCGGAGAGCGGTTTGCCCTGAGGAATCGGCGCTTGGCGACTTCGTGTTTGTGTGCCGTGTCGGTGGTGGAGGTTGATGGTTTTTGGTCGCCGCTTATTTTCTAGTACACCCTCTTCTACGCATCGGGAGAAGATGTCTGCGACAAAGATGCGCAGCCACCGGACGCCTTGCTCGAAAGAATTAATGGCTGGTCGAAAAGACTTTGCCGAGAGCATGCTTTTGATTTGTGTCCGTGGGTTGACTTCGCTGTTGTCCTCGCCTCGGATGATCGAGTACAGCCAGCTACCCGTGTCGTCGCCCAGCTTCTTCAGTTGATCCAACGGCTGCTCCATGAGATCCTTGACTTTGTCTGTGCCAAAAGTAGCAACTACTTCATCGCCCAGCTTGCCTCCAAGCATCCGGATCTTGGTAAACTTCATCTCCGAAAGGAAATGCTCGACTGCGCGGTTTCGGATAACTGTCTGCTGGTTCGGTTTCTTGTATCCTGACCCCAGCTTTGCAAGCATCTTGTTTCTAGCGACGCCGCCAGAACAGGTATATCCAAGAGTGTCTTTAATATGCCTTCTTACGTCCCGAACAATTTCCGATCCAATTACCATGCACACATCATCCCAATCTGGATCCCTATCCTCTCCGTCCTCCTCGCCGGTTTCCACGAGCGCATCGGCAGCCCAGTCAAGCACCGTTGTAGGCACCTTTGGTAGTCTTTCCGTCGGATCGTCATAGGGCGCGGGCCCTCTTAGCTCGGGGTATCTCTCCAACAGAATCGTATGCACCTGTGCGCTCAGGTCCATGAAGACCTCGTCAATGCTCGCTTTCTCCACCCGCTGTTCTTTTTCCGGCAAGCTCTCTTTTATGCACTTCAAAATCTTGCGGCTCTCCTTGCGATACGGGTCCAAACTAACTTTGTGTGTCGCCATGTCCCGGAAACTATTCTCATGGTACGCCCACTGCTCATCTCCCTCTTTCCATGTCGCAACATGCTGCAGTATAAGCTCAGGACATTGCTTCAGTGCCTCGGTCGACGTGACGTGTCGATTTAAGCCGAATGCACGCGCGGGGTAGTTGATTGCTATGAGGCCCTGCCATTGTTGGACAGCGAGAGGCTTGGACGGGTCGATTCCGAGACGAACGGTTTCGCACTGGGCGTAAAAGGCATCGAGATCTACGTGCGCAATTATGCGGAGAGGCGTTTGTGGACTGTAGGATTTGAGTTGTTGCAGTTGTTTGTAGGTGAACCTCGATTTGGGGATGCGACGCGGGGACGTGATTGAGAATTGAGAAGAATGGAATTCAGGCGATGGTGACGACATTACGGTTACGTGATCATTTCAGACATAGCAGCGTTAATAGAGCGTAGGAAGTCGTCCGAAAGCGTTAGTGGAGCTGCATTGTGGAGGAGACGTTGCCGCGCGACATCAAGGCGCGTCTTCTCGCGGTCCCGTGCATGCGCGTCATTCATCTCGGAGATCGCGCTAGCCGGATTGGGTCTTTCATGATCCGACACCCATACCCACCTGATACCTACCTGCACATACAATGTTCCAACGACTGTACCATGAGCGCCGCGATATCCTGGGAAATATATTCAGGGCTATAAAATTGATGCATGGTCACCTTCCAGTATAAAAGAGCTGTCCCTTGGTGCACTGCTGAGCGCCAGACGACTCATGAATTCGTCAAATGTTCAGATGCAGTCTGATGCCTTGAAAAACACTTTGGTTTTCTTTAGAAACTTGGAATTCTGCTGATATCGCACTCATAGATCTACGAAAGTATAGATCAACTCTACCTTGAAATGTCTCATCACAAACTTATGACAACACCACAGATTTAGGCAACTCACATTCTTTCATTGCATGATAATACAGGCCCATAAGATTTCTCCAAATCCAGTCTCCATATTAGTGTCATTCAACCAATGGGCTAGTTTCTGTAGACTGACTGCTGGTTGCACTTTGCCGATTGTCAGCAAGATATCCGCGATCTGCAAGGCATTCCAGATACTCGGATAGACTAGCCCATTATGTGCCTGAAATCCCGGCCTGTTCTGATCTGACCTAAAGTACGTTGTGATTGGCTGCGGGACTGTAATTCCGGAGGATCATAGCTGCAGCATGCAGACGTCACGATACTTGCAGCTTGCATCCCCAGTCCCTTTGCCAACACCTTCGCAATGCTGTACGCAATCCTCCCGCTATATGGCTTGTCACTTTGTACACTTAAATAAATCAAAATCAATCCACTTTCAACATCGCGCACAGCCAAACCAAGCCCCTTGGCTAGGGTCGTTGACGTCATAGTGATCCCTTGACCCAATAGGAACATGTGAATGATTATTCGTGATGCGTAGAGTACGAAATGGACGGTATTTTTTAGTAGCAAAAGTGACTTTGAATTGTTCCATGTGCTTTCTTTCTGAAGCTCTTCCCTCTCCGTGCAAAGTTTGATCACTGGTCTTCATCATGATTGCAAAAATAGATGGAGACACTATGGATTCCAGGGCTCAGGAAAATAGCGTACCCGTATACGCGATAAGCGAGGTACCGGTTACTGTGGAGAGAAAGCCATGGTTCAACATTGATGACTCCGCCCTCCGACACCCAGGTACGATTCCTTCACGCAGCTGCAAACTAACGTGTGGTTCTTACTGACCACGATAACATACAGCCGTAGCACGTGCAAACCTTGCACCTTCACTAGATACGCCTCAAGGAAGCACTCAAGATGACTGGGCTGAAAAGCATTCGCATCAAACCGTCCTCCAACAGCACTGCGATTTTTTCGACCGCGATGGCGACGGCATTCTCTGGCCGCAAGACACATTCGTTGGTTTCTACCGCCTAGGTCTTGGAATTTTATTTTCTGCTTTCGCCGTCTTAGTCATTCACATCAACTTCTCATACCCTACGTCTCCGGGGTGGCTACCAGATCCCTACTTCCGCCTCTTCCTGAAAAACGTGCACAGGGCGAGACATGGAAGCGACACAGGCACGTACGATACCGAGGGAAGGTTCATCCCATCCAAATTTGAGGAAATTTTTACCAAATACGCGGGTGGAAGAGACTACTTGACAGTTCAAGATTTGAAAAACACATTGATGGGGCAGAGAAACATCAATGACCCTATTGGTTGGTGTGGGTTCATTTTTGAGTGTGGGTCTAGAGTCTGTTCGGCAGAAGAAGCTAGAGTATGCTAATAGATGATACTAGGGACCGCAACGTATCTGATGCTTTGGCCTGAAGATGGTCGGATGATGAAGGTCGGTAGCCCTTATCAGGAAACACCTATCTCGTTGTAGTGCTGATAGCTTGAAGGAGGATATTCGCGCCGTGTACGACGGAAGCATATTCCATCGAATTGCAGAGAAGCGCGAAAACAAACTGCAGCAGAAGAGCCAGTAGGCCAATGGAACGGCCACACATCTCTAGTTCGTGCAGACAACAGCCATGAACTCCAACAAGGGAATGGCTATTACTCCCCTTGAGAGGCTCTTGATTGTTGTCAACCGATAATAGATTGCCGCTTGTTCATGTAGAAACGTATAGCAGCCTAAAATAATCTTAGAAGGCGTTGACAAGAGGTGTAGCTGGTAGTTTGTTACTGCTTAGTCACGTTGGCGAATTTCTTTCATCTGAACCCACTGCGTGGGGGTTCACGGCTGCACTATGGCGTCACTGTTACAGTTGTTAGGCAAAAGAAATGTTAGTGTTGGTTAAGTAACGAATCAGTTTCGTTATACAACCTAGTATGGCGATTTCCAACGTAACACAGGCCTGGTAGATAGCAGGAGAGCTTCCTAGAGCCAATCAGCTTTCATTTCATTTCATGTCGTTCGAGAAGCCCCAATGGAAATACTGATTGTATTATGCGGCTAAAGCTGCAAGAAGTAGAGCTAGACAAGCCTCCCCTACCGAGTTTTTCCTATCAAATCATTGCTGTTCTTACAAGCACGTGGCCCTCGATAGAATCTCTGTATCTGTGCGATGCCAGGGCCCTTTGGAGAGACCCCTTGAGCTCAGACACCCAGACGCACTTCGGATAAACCTTTGACCGACAAGTAAACAAACTGCATAGATATTGCTCGTTATCTATCGAATACAGTGCTGTCCTGCATCTAGGTGTAGGGCCCAGTTACCAGCGGGATCTTCAAGCCTAGCCCCTTATGCTCTCTATTATGGATATCCAAATCATCTGCTAGCCACCACAAGTAGCCATGGATTGCCTCCTAATCCTCGATTATTAACAGGAATGCCGTTTCTGGTCCGTAGCACACATTGGGCGTTATGCATGAGACTCACAGGTGGCTTGTATACATCAAACAAGCAACGAATCATATTCGCTGCAACTTGCATAAGTTCCCGAATCCGAAATTGTGCACATGCCGGGCCTGAGCTCTTGGCCCACTCATGTACCCTGCCGCATGTCAGCCCATTGATCCTTCATCGGCGATGACGCAACTCGGTCAAAAATGCCGGTGAATCAGATGGCAGCATGGGGATTGAATAATACTGTTTTAAGAATCTCGATTCGAGTTACTCAAACGGCCATGCTGTAAAACCGAGTCCCCCATGTGACCCCGTAGGAAATATACTCATTCGTAATCCCTTTCTACCCGCCAAACTCTTGTTATTCATAACCCTCGCCTTGTGGAAAGTCTGGCGTGCGCCAGTATCCGTGTCGACGAGAGACACGCTTCCATTATTACCATGGCAGTAGTTGGAGATGCCTAGTGTATGGGTGAGAAACCGACTTGGAGCATGGCCGAAGAGCCCCAAGTCGTGAGAGTTTCGAGTCGTGAGAAGCGCGCTTCGCCGTCTACAGAAACCTATATTTAAAATGCAGTATAACACTTGTGCCAGCATTCGCCGCTTAGACGGACGAATTCCCATGGTTATCGGAACGCAGTAATACCTGACTAGGTTCTTGACCAACTCTTATGCTGAACTGATTCTCTACTGACTCGACTAGAGTTTACATTGCTCATGGGCTGCATCAAACGACGCAAGCGCCGTGGGATTGGACCCCAGGTCATTGTCTCAACAGCCCACAAGAGACCAAATATGCACGTGCTCAGTTTTGGAACTTTCTCCTGCATCTCCGGCTGTCATCTGCACCAAATCTTCAGCGACTTCAAGTCGACCGGGTCCATGCGGTCGCGTGACATGCGAGACACAAGGTCAGGTAAGGAGAAGCTACAGCCATGTCCGCGCAAGCCTTTCAAAGACAATGTTAAGCACATTTGTTTCTGCCTCGATCATGGTTGCAGAGTGTTGCAGTCGGATTCTCGGCATATAGTAGACGCTTTAATAGAATCAACACTTGCAGCGAGAGCATGAAGCATCCTTGGAAGCCATGTTGGGGAGAGACTATCTGTAGAACTCTGAGGAGGCTAGGTTTAGCCGTGGTAGACGCCTTGATCGGGCTGCAATCGTAACGCACCTGGGAGGCATCGTTATCCTTGTGGCCGGTCCAACGGCATTCCCGGATGTAAGCTGGTAATGCCGAGCATAAATCAGGATTGAGAGTGAGAATCGAGAACGATAACATATCGTTCTACACAAGGCCAGGCAAACTGGAGGGAATGTCTTGGTATGTGTGACAGCTGCAGGCGCAGGAATCCATACTCGATGTCGTGCAGGGGGCTATGGGTAGCGACCTCAGCGCGCTGCAAGCGCAAGTGGAAAAAGACAAGCTCGATGTCGTGGCAGGACTCAGTGAGCATCTTCTCATTCTCATACTCGTGCTTGTTGCCATGCCTGCGCTGGAATGCTACAGGTCGGACCGCACACTGGATGGCATGTTGCATGCATGGTATATGGTGTTTGCGGTACTCTAGTCACAACGGGCTTCGAGTAGAACACTCGAGGCATGTCGGCCCAAGAAGCACCTGTGTGCTTAGCACCACGATGTGTCCCAAGTCCAGGGTTATGCTAGCCATGTGCCGAAGATACGGCGCAAACTGGTCGTAGTGTCAGCTTGCCTGGGGCGCATTGGTACGTACCTTGGTGTGGGCTTCCCTTGTCGCATACATGGGTGCACGTGACGTGGCCTCATTTCACCTGGTTGGTTATGGGATGTTAGGCCGCAGCCAATCACCGCATTCTCCACTACGAAATCCATTTCTGGCCGAGTGTTGCTCTGCCCTGACACTTGTATGCTCGACAATTCCGCAGTGTTGCCCTTTGTCATTGCTACAGACACGCACTTCACCCTAGCTTCTGCCTCCCAGCTCGAACGTCAGACGATCCTGTCCAACGATATGCCGCCCTTTGTCCTTGCCTAGCTCGACTCTCGAGCCGCTGTCCCCATGGAAAACACACAGCAGCAGTATGAGCCCGAGCGCTCTGGCTCGTCAAGGCAAGACGCCAAGGTGGCCATTCCACGGCTGCAAAACATGAATTACCAAATGTCCGCCACTACGCGACCTCAGCGCCCACGCAACGACGTAGTGAGCAAGGCCGTGAGTGCTGCGTCACCAACAGCTACCTATTGGACAGACGCTGACACCCGGTCCAGTGTACGCAATGCCGCAAGCGAAGTGGGCCTCTCTCAGCTTAGTACCTTGCAGCTTCTTCTTGGGCATGACTAAGCTGCTCGTGGTGAAATTTAGTACCTACTAACCAAAGCCAGAGATCAAATGTTCTGGCGACCGTCCGCGCTGCACAAACTGCCAGCGTCAGGGCCATGGCTGTCACTACGAGCAGGAGCGCAAGGACCGTCTCCGAGGGTGTGCCGATCCCACTCTGCCTGTTCCTTAAACTGCCGCTAACATAGGAGAAAGAGCAATACGTAAGGGTCAGATCCTGGCCGAGATTCTGGTGGAAGTCAGTAGCCAGCTGGACGAGGCCGGCAAGAAGAAGGTCGAAGAGACACTGGCGTTGTTTGAAGACGATACGCCTCCCCCGACAACCCCCATTATACCATCTTTGTTGCAGACAAAGCGCCAGAGAGCCGAGTCTACCCACTTTGACGATGATACTCAGAGTTTTATCTCTGCAGATGCTGGAGAGGCCCGTGTCTCTGCTTCGGTTGGCTCAAACGAAGATCTTGACTTTGTCCAGGAAGATTACTTTCGTGAGAACGAAGCTGAAAGTACGGGATACATGGGCCGTAACTCTCAAGTACAGTGGCTACGTGCACTCGAGGCCAAAGTCGAACAGCCGGAAGGCGAGCCTCCACATATGGCATACGGGCCACCTGGAGCCAGCACAGAAGCCTTCGACCGTCGTGCTGACGTACTACGCGAGCGTCAACAGAGAGCCCACCAAAGTTCTTCGACGGGCTACTACTTCTACCTTGACAGAAACAATATAGAAATCGACATCGGCGACCCCAACATTCTTCCCTCTGCGAGTACTGCCGAGAGACTATTTGGCTATTACAAAAAGGCGGTACACAGTCCATTCAAGCTCATAGATGGAAAGCCGCCATGAACCTTGTATTCGCCATAGGGGCGCGATATTCGCATCTGGTTGACGCTGAATGGCGAGCTGATGATCGCGATCATCTAGTGTACATGTGGAGAGCAGTCCACCTCTTACAGCTTCAACAGATGAGGACTCTCACTCTACATCCCGAACAGCGATTAATACAGGTAGGCATACCCAAACGTTCAACGCATCCTTCTGACCTGTCTAGGCGATTGGACTTCTATCGTTCTACTATCTTACAATTGGCCACGTTAGCAAGTATGTTCAACTAGCAATAAAACACCGATAAAAAACACGAACACCTGCTGACAGCTGCACAGGGCTTGGTATATGATTGGTATGGCCATTCGCCACGCACAAGCTGCAGGTCTCCACCTTAGATACGAGAACCCATCTATGCAATCTGACAGAACAAGGTCACTGGCTGAGCTTTGGTGGGGTCTCAACTCGATTGAGTGCATCCTTACTTCGATATTAAGACGTCCTCGTGCCATAGCCCCCAAGGATTGTACAGTACCTCTACCAGGAGTGACCGGAAGTGAAACACAGTCAAAGTCGCGAGAGTCCACGACACCCAGCATGTCTGCCACCTCGTCCGGCGTCAGTCGGGGCTCTGGCTCTTCTACTGGCGGCAAAAGTATCGGGACTACCAAGCATAGCTTTATTAAGGCTTACGTCAAGCTCGATCTTCTCATGGACAAAATCCTCTCTCGCCTTTATTCACCCCGAAAGTCGATCAAATCTTGGAAGAGTGCCCAGAGAGAAATCACTATGCTCTCCGAGGAGCTGGAAAGCTGGGCTTTGCAGTCCCTGCCACAGGGCCCAGCTGCTGCTACTGCTGCTACATTGGATCACAGTTTAGATCGTGAGAGCTTGCTGCTCCATCTTTACTATTACAATGCGAAAATTTGCATCACGCGGCCATGTCTCTGCCGACTCGACCAGCGAATCAAAGGACAGAGTGAAGAGTCTGCTCGTTTCAACCAGAAAACAGCCGAAGCTTGCATTGGGGCAGCCCTTGACATTGCCGCCATCTTGCCTGATACCCCAAGCCCTACATGGTACTACGAGAATGGCCCTTGGTGGTGCGCTGTGCATATGAGTAAGCACGCTCATTGATACTGTGAAGAATTCGATAGACTGACTCATGTAATTTAGTTATGCAAGGCCTTACTGTGCTTTTGCTCGAGCTCTCACTGAACTGCGCCCACCTGACAATTGAAAAGTCGCACATCACGTCTTGCGTCGATAAGTTCATGCGATGGCTTGAGTCGATGAAATCTATTGATGAGGTCAGCGAGAGTGCATACAGTGTCGTTAGCAAGGTCTTGAACAAGCAAACGCCAGAGGAAGCTGCCCGGAAGCAATTGCCCTATCTACAGTCAGCTCCAGGATACGAACGCCACGGATACAACATTCAAGACCCCTCGCTCGGACCCCAAGTACCCTTTCAGATGCATAGCCAGCCATCTTCGTTACAACAAATGCATCATGCATGGCCGGGCTCAGATGCATTCACCAACGCGCCTTATTTTTCACAACCTGATGCCAGCGGTTTTTATCACAGCAATTTACCGAGCACCGAGTATCTGAACGACCCTCACGCAAGTCTGTATCAGTTCGGACAGCCTCAGATGAACTTGTTCTACGGGAACCCTTACCCAGCCACTATGGACCAGTGGGACTGGGATTCAATGACGGCAGATGACACTGCTCACGGCCCGGGCCAGCAGCAGAACCCAGGCCAGGGTTTCGGAAGTTGACCGTGTCAGCAGCTCTGCCGTATAGAGCGAGCGTAGAAATCCATTCTCCAGTCCTGGATTGGCTAAACTTTCGGTATTAGAGAAAAAACAAGTTGATAGAGGTATATTTACGAGGCGGGTAATCTGTTGTTGTTAATCCATCTATTAGCCATTAATCTCAGGTGAGGAGACCAAGAGTTCTAGGTACTTATTTTTTTCAATTGATTTTGCGAGACGTGCTGGTCAATTTACGTGGCTTCTGTGTCTACGCCCACAAGTCGTGCAACCTCGTACATCACACCTCACAAGCATCTACCCTAAACATTCCCTCCACAACTGCACAATCCCTGCCATACTGCTCGATAGCGTCCTTTACCGCGTCCTCCACGCCCATGGTTTTCACACCCACAACCTCGTTTTCCACCAGCCGACTGAAATTATCTCCATGGCAGCCATCCTTTTCCTCATCGTAAAACTGATTGCCAATTCCCAAGCCTTTGATCGCAAGCCCGATATTTTCCTTCCCTCCCGGCAAATCCTTGTCGTACTTTTCCAACACAGCCAAGGCATTGTTGTTGATGCGCTCCACATCGACATTTTCCACGGAAAACTGCTTACCCAGCTTGGCCTCGAGCGTGCGAATAAGCGTCCGCTGCGTGAGACAGGACTGGGCTCCACGCTCTGCGACAAAAGGGCATATATGTATTGCTCTGTTCATGATGGGCAGCGGGTCTCGTAGCATGGCTGCTGCGGCGCGCGCGATAGTGGGAAGCGGAGTCCAATACAAAGGTGTGTTACCTGTGCCGTAGATGCAAGCGTGGGCATCGCGTACCGAGATACCAGCAGGGCCCTTCATCAGCCCTATTTTTGTGGGCAATGAAAGTCAGTTCAATAGTCACCGTTTCGCCTCCTTCACCAAAACCCATGAGAATTGTCACCACGGGGGATTTATCATCCGGTGAAAACACTGGACAATGACTACACCTACACATGTCGAAAAACGGGCCTCCGTTCAAACTCGTCCACGAAATCTTGCCTTCGCTAGCCAGCATTTCCAAATCCCGTCGTATCCTTACTTTTGCACCGACAAACGCCTCGGGCATTCGCTGGTACCGCGGACTCGCAATGTCACCGACAAACTCATTGGTAAAGAACAACTTGACACCTGCAGCAATGGCAGCGTCGATCATGAGGCGAGATGCGTCGTATTGCGTGGCACTGCCCGTGACGCAGTTTACGATTGCGTCTTGGTTGTGGAATGCGGACTCGAGGGATGCCGAGGAGGTGTAATCGGCGGTTTTGTGCGTCACGGTGTTGTTGTTGTTGGTGGCGGTGAGGTTGGCAGGGAGTGTGTATGACGAAGTTTGGCGCGTGATCAGGGTGATGGTAAAGGGGGGTGAGGACGAGTCCTTGAGGAGTTCGTTCAAGATGGCGGTGCCGACGTTGCCGCCGGGCTAGCATGTATGACGAATGTAAGGAGAGGCTGTGATAGTGTGGGATGCGAGGTTGAACATACACCGAGAACAGCAATGTTTTTCAGTTCCATGTCTGGAGTTTGATTGAGTTCGTTGGTGTTGTTGATTGTCACGATTTCGTGGTTTGGGTGACAATGCAACGCAACAGGCCACGGTATCTTATATCAACTTCATTCCAAAAACCCGAGAGTAAAATAACCAGTGATAACAGCTTTCCGTCTCTTCCCACGTTGGATTGAGTGTAGCAAGCCAGGCACCACCAGGCAGCCCATCTCAGTGTTGCCTTGTTGCCTGCATCTCACACTGTGCATGCGCTAAATCGGTCTCGACGACGCTTGTGCCAATGCGGTATGGCGCGTGGCTGTCGGAGCCGTATGCTCACGTGCCGCAGTCGGCGTTTGAACTGTGGGGGATCACACTGATCAAATGCCGATTCCTCGGGCCAAGACTTGCATTCTGACATTGTGGCTTTTGAGTTTTCAGCAGACGGCAAAGAAGCCTCAAAGGGGCATGGAGTATATCGATGCGTCGACACATGTCGTGATGTGCATGCCTGTTGTATCTGAGGCGCGGGGCACGCAATGCCCACGATGATGGCGGGGCTGCCAAGCGACGTGGCGGGGTACTTATGCCACCACCGTCATGGCTATCGCAAAGGAATTCTGAGAACAGCCGGCGGGTGTGAAAAGGAATTTGTCCTTTTGAATTTATCAACGGCGGTCGATTAATACGTCCGATCTCTGCGCCGTCACTGGCTCGGTCCGAGATGGGCCGGAAGAAGTTGCTCAATTGGTGGAGCGGCAGCGCGATAAAAGGTAACCAAATGCCGCCGTGCTGGAGGTGACATTTCACTCCTCCTCACTCCTCCGCATAAGCCGCCAGCTCGATATTTCCTTTCTCTCATCACCTCATATACATCCTCACAATGTCTCAACGAGCTGCGCTGCTAATTGGCAAGTTGGCACACGCCCAAAAAGAGTGGCAGGCATGCGCCCAGATCGCATCCAAGCTACACGAGTACCCCGATGGCAACCGCGAAGACTTCATTGCCAAGTGCAAGAGCGGCGAATTTGATGGAATCTACGCCCTCTACCGGAGTAACGACTCCAATCCCATTACCGGAGACTTCAATGCCGAGCTGCTCGATGCGCTGCCCAAGAGCCTCAAGTACGTCTGCCACAACGGCGCGGGATACAACAACATCGATATCGGCGCATGCACAAAGAGAGGCATTTCGGTGTCGAGCACGCCGATAGCAGTCAACGATGCAACGGCCGACGTGGCCATTTGGCTCATGCTTGGCGCGCTCCGCAACATCAAGCAGCCATACATGGCAGTCAACAGCGGTTGGTACCCGAGATTCAGGCAATGCAGACGCACAATTGACGTATCGCACAGGAAAGTGGCGCGGAAACTTTTCGCTCGGACACGACCCCAAGAACAAGACGCTCGGTATCCTGGGCATGGGCGGCATTGGCTCGGCCGTGGCGCACCGCGCAAAGGCCTTTGGCATGAAGATACAATACCACAACCGTCGCCAGCTGCCTGGCAGCGAGGAGAACGGCGCAAAGTATGTGAGCTTTGAGGAGCTGCTCAAGACATCCGATGTGCTCAGCTTGAACCTGGCGCTCAACCCCTCGACCACGCACATTATTGGCAAGGAGCAATTCCAGCTGATGAAGGATGGCGTGGTCATTGTGAACACGGCGCGCGGCGCGTTGATTGACGAGGCGGCGCTTGTAGATGCGCTCAAGAGCGGCAAGGTGTGGACGGTTGGACTGGATGTATTCGAGGAGGAGCCCAAGATCCACCCCGGCCTGCTCGAGTGCGAGAACGCCGTGTTGCTGCCGCATGTTGGCACGGGAACATACGAGACACAGGTATGTTTGTGTCAAGAGGGAGTCTGGGACTACGCTAACATTTCCCTAGCGCGAGATGGAGATACTAGTGCTCGACAACCTCAAGTCGGCCATCACAAGCGACAGGCTGCTGACCCAAGTACCCGAGCAGAAGACGGAGAAGGCAAACATGTAGCCGGGCGCTAGAGGCGATGAAACAAAAGCTGAGACTATTTGCAAGGGTTGCTGCTTGCGTCATCGTACAGTCCGGCCACCTTACTTCATACCCTTTTTCGCCATGGACTGGGAATCTTGCAGTAGCGAGATCTAGGGGGGAGCGCGAGGGCCCCGGGACCCAAAGCATGATGACCGGGCATGGTAGAAAGGGACCCCGTGATGAGCCCATCTAAAGTACATATACCCTAGGATGAATAGAGGAAAGCGCTGCATCTGCAACCTATGCCATGCCTAATCCAGTGTCCGCCAAATGTAGAATGTGGTCATAAGCTAGGATATGTATCCTGGCCGTCCGTCTTTTGACCCTCGCTGCAGATGCGAGCCAGGTCCCTTTTATGAAGGCGACGAGAGTATGCGTTGCTATCATCAGGGAATACGCAAATCTGACCAGGTGTCTGATACATGCTGCTCACCTTGGTGGCCGGCAACCAATAAGTAAAGTGCGCGGGGCATCTGCATCCCAGTCTACACCTGTTCGCCGTGTAGAGACCCTTCTTTCAAAGCGGGATGTCTGCGTACTTGAATTAAAAAAAAGCCTCAAGATCGGCATTTCCACAAGTGTTTCCTTGTCTTGGTAAAAACATTAGTCTTTGATGAACAAGAATGTTTGTTGTACGTTGTACGTTCTCTCCCCGCTCCGTAGTACTTTGAGTATTTTCACGTGCTAAAAGCGCGCAACATGGGGCGTGCGTATGCGTGCGTGTGCGTGCGTGGGGTCTTGGCAGCAGCAGCAGCAGCAGCAGTAGCAGCAATAGCAGCGGCAATGCAAATGCAAATGCAAATGCAATGCAGCGCAATCTCCAATCCCGAAAAACAAGAAACAAGGAAAAAAGGGAAAATAAAAAGCCTCTCTAAGCTTATGTATGCCGAGGCGGTACCAGTTCCGATATTTGATGTAAGTACACATACACCCTGGTCTCCTGTGTCGGTGTCGGTGTCGGTGTCAGTTGTCAATTGTCAGTGTCAGTGTCAGTGTCAGCATGTACGTATGTAAGTATATGCAAACCACGGGTGAAGTTCGGCTTTTGCATGTTACAACATCGCGTGATGCACGAACGACGCATTGCCGTCGACGCATGCTGTTGTCGTGAACTGGGCGGCAACCCGTTTTAGTCTGGCAGTTGAATGTATGCAGTAAAGGAAACGGTCGGCATTTGAATGGGGGCAGAAATGCAATACCCGCTGCTTGTCTTGTGTGCCTTGGTTGTTGCCGACCCACCTCGCGTCCAGCCACCGGGGAAGCAGAGACGAGAAAACTATGGGGATTTGAGGGGGGGGGCCTTGGCTTGGCTCGAGGTCCAGCTCCCTCCCCGCCTGGAGTCCCCACGAAAAAAAAGGTCATGCCCACATACCCCAAAAGTTGCTCCCCACGCCATGTTCTTGCACTTTGCCGACGGGCCCCAGATCGGGTTTTGGAAGGGCGGTCTTGTCCTGGCGAACGGGTATTTGGGTTAGGGTAAATGTTTTTTTTTTCTGGGGATTTGGCGCTGTTGTTTGTACAATTGCCGGTTTGGACTCGTCGTATGATTTGATCCATCGGTGGGGAGGTTAAACGAGACTGCGTGGAGCTAAGTAGAGGGGGTTATATATCGCTCTCGCTCTCTCTCCGTTTCTTTCTCGCTGCATCCCTTCGCTCTACATACCTTATACACTCGACGCAAACATGGCCAGGCTCAACATGGCCGAGGTCTGGGCAGACATCAAGACATACCGCCGCGCGTACCTACTCACGGCTGTGGCATCCTTTGGCGGCATGTTGTTTGGATGGGATACAGGCTTGATTGGTGGTATGCACACACACACACCGGGTTTCTTCACCGCCATCTTCGTATCCACTAATAGCAATCAGGTGTCCTGACCATGGACGCATTCCAACACTCGTTCAATCTCGACAAGGGTAGTTCCGACTTTGCCAATCTCCAAGGTAACATCGTGTCTGTGTTGCAGGCAGGCTGTTTTTTCGGGGCCCTGGCAAGTTTCTACGTTTCCGACACGTTTGGCCGCAAGCGGGCGCTTATCATGGCCGACGTGATATTCATCATCGGCTCCTTGGTGCAGACGCTGTGCGGGCTGGGCACGTCGAGTCTGACACAGCTGTACGTGGGACGTGTGATTGGTGGGTTCGGGGTTGGCTTGATTTCTGCTGTTGTGCCTACATATATTGGAGAGAACGCGCCCAGGGCGATTCGAGGCCGCTGCATTGGCTGCATGGTATGCTTGCATTTCAAAAAAGGGGGTATGCGGCATTTGTCTTACTGACGGTAATAACAGCAACTCTTCAACGTCACGGGGATTTGCTTGTCGTTCTTTGTCAATTATGGCATCGCGCTTCATATCACCAGCCCCACGGACTCGACAAAATGGCGCGTACCTTTTGCCCTGCAGATGCTTCCTGGAGCGTTTCTGTTAGCAGGCATTGTTTTCATGAACGAGTCGCCGCGTTGGCTCGTGGAGAAGAACCGCGTCCATGACGCCGCCAAAGCACTGGCCACGGTCCGGGGCAAGAGCGTCGACGACGCAGACGTCGTGGAGGAACTCGACGAGATTATTGCAGACTTCAACGGCCATGAGAAGATGCCTCTGATGGCGCAGCTCAAGGCTTCGTGCGCAAGCAGGAAGATGTTTTACCGATCTTCTTTTGTCGTCATTCTCATGTTCTGGCAGCAGTGGACGGGCACAAACTCGTACGTAGTATTTGGTGCTCAGACTAGACGTGCGATTGTCGCTGACCTGGCTCAGGATCAACTATTACGCCCCGCAGATTTTCCGGGAGATCGGCCTGGTTGGCAGTTCGTCGGGCCTATTTGTAAGTGAAGACCAGTGTGTACGTGTAGAGTGGTAACATGGACTGACGTGAATGACCCAGGCGACTGGAGTCTATGGCATCGTCAAGATTGTCGTGACAGCAATTGGGCTCATGGCCTTCACGGAGCAGCTCGGGCGAAAGTGGTCTCTGATCATTGGGTCGCTCGGACAGGCATTTGCCATGTTCTACATCGGCATCAACCAAGCGGTGCACCCGCCGTCGGGCGACCTCGACGGCAACGCAATCTTTGCCATTGTTTGCGTGTACCTGTTTGTCGTCTTCTACTCGTTTGGCTGGGGACCCATTCCGTTTGTGCTGGCGTCCGAGTGCAGCCCCAACCAGGTGCGGTCGCTGCTCATGGCGGCGTCGCTCATGACACAGTGGCTGTTCAACTTTGTGATTGCAAAGATTACGCCGCTGATGCTGAGCCACATCACGTATGGGACATTTCTTTTGTTTGGGTCTCTGTGCATTGTCATGGGGCTGTGGACGGTCTTGTGCGTCCCCGAGACCAAGGGCGTGCGGCTCGAGTCGATTGGCGAGCTGTTCGAGGGCAACATCATCCGGGGATGTATCCAGGACACGGTGCCGAGCAGGGCACGGGCGAAGCAGCTGCGACACCACCATGCGACGGACGATGGCGACTCGATCAAGAGCGGTGCAGGCAAACGGGGGCGCGTGGAGCAGATCGAAAACGCATAGGGCAGCAACGGCGGCGGCGGCGATGGCCATGGCCAAAAAGCAGCTGCAAGCGGCCACGGTGCTTACGTCGCGGCGCATGAAGCAGGCTAGTGTGGTACGATATTTCCGTAGGAGCGAAATGCCCAAGTCAAGGCCGTGCGCACATGACGATGCTTGACCTTCATTCATGATGAGACTTGTCGATGGCAAAGCGGTCGGCGGGGGCGCATGGCGGATCTGTACAACGTGTCCGTACAGTGAAGATCGTGGACCGAACGGGCGTTGAGTCGGGCCGCGTGGGCGGAGGGCGAGCAGGGCCGTCACGAGGGGCGAGGGGGGAGGGAGGATAGGCAGTCCTGGACAGTGAGGCTGGGCAGCGGCGGGGCGGTCGCGACTGCTATGGCTGCCTGAGGGGCCGTTGGGCGGTCAGCGGGCGCCGCAACGCCTCTCGTTGGCGGGGCGACGTTGGGTGTAGCAGTGGGCTGCCTAGTATCTCTGTAACAGGCCGGCGGTGCATGCCGACGGGGGAACCAGGCGAGGGTCGCTGCGCAGGAGTGAAGCGTGCAGGCAAGGCGCCGATGCAGCGCGCACCTGGCCACGGGCGGTCACGGTGGAGTCGATGGCGGTGTTGGTGTTAGCATTAGTGCTGGAGGGGTGTGGCGGGCAGCGTGGGTGTGGTAGGCAAAGAAAGGAAAAAAAAAAGTTGCCGCACCGAGGGCGCACAGATGGAATCGAGGCGAGGGACCCTGGCGTGGGTGGCGCTGCTCGTGTTGGTGGCCAGCTGCCAGGCGCAAGCGCGAGTGCGAGTGCAGGGGTGGCCAGGGTTCGGCGGGCCCAAGCGAGCGATGACATAGTGCATTGCAATCAGCAATCCGCTCTCCCCTCCACGCAACACGGCAACCAGGCAGGCGGGCGCCCGACTCGTCACAGCCCGAAGCTCACCACCACTCCCACCCCCCGATTGCCCATCCATCCGTCCATACACGCTCCAGGTAGACACTGCGCTGCGCTGCGCTGCACTGCACGCCGCTGTAGTGCTGCACATCCCCTCCCCCGCCAACACTACTCACACCCCCCCCCGCCTTACGCCCCCCCTGCTGCCCGCGCGCTCTCAGCTCTCGCTCTCGCTCTCTCGACACACCTCCTCTACACTGCACGCCTATTACACCTACACATCACAGACACGCGCCCTCCGCTGCTCCACTGCTGCTGTGCTATCCCTACCGCCGCCGCCAAACCCGTTGCTCCAGCGTAGCCCGGCGCCCGCCTCATTCGCTGCCTCGCCCGTCTCCACCGCTGCGCCCGTCGCGTCCCAGGCATATCCCAGGGCACGCCTGCAAATATCACGCCCACCTTGCAGTCGCAGCAAACCCCCCGCCCCCCTGCCCTGTCCGGCCCAGCTGTCACCACTCGGCCCTCGAAACTTGCACGCCTCCCACTCTCCCTCCTGCCGGCAATCGGTTCGCGCTCCTAGCCGTAGAGCCACGCTACACGTGCCCCGACCGGCTCCCGTCCTGCACTGCACTGCGACGCTTTTATGTACGTCAAGCTGCGACTCCATTCCTCGCCAGACTCGGTCTGCTCCTCTTCTCCTTTGCTTGTGCCATGCGCTCCCTCCTCTGCCCCTGACACAGCCCTTTCACCAAGCACTGACAGCATGTTGGGCAGCCTTCTCCTACCCACCAGCCCTCCGGGCCCAAGGGGCGCTGCTTATTCCCCCACCGCCGTGCCGCCCCTTCCCCCGCGTAGAAATAGCCTGTCCACTACGCCCGCTGCCAAAACGGCTGCCAAAGTCGCTGTCAAGCTGTCCGGCACCATGGAGTCGCGCTACACCCGCGCCTCGTCGCCCCGCAGGTCCTACAACAACCCCGCCAGAGCCTCGACCGGTGGCTTCGGCGACCCATACTACGACTCGTCCCACTATGGCCGCTCCAGCTCGCCGCGCGCCAGCATCGACCGTCTGGGCGCTGCCACGTCGTACCACTCGCCCTACTGGAACCAGCCCAGCAGCACCCTGAGTTCCCGCTCCAGCAACCTCAAGTACGACTCGTACACGGCTCGCCCCCGCCGCAACACCAATGACCTGTCAAGGCCCAATGTGAGCACCAGCGCCCTTCCGCAGACGTCCCTCCCGCTCCGCACACCCTACTCGCCCCACGCGAGCAGCTATGCCGACCGGCCCAGAAGCCCGCTGGCCCCTCCTCCGTCTTCCTCTTCTTACGACAAGCGAAGCGACCCCTACGTCACGCCCGTCCCTCCTCGAGGCCATAAGAAGGTGTACAGCGTCGACGACACCAGCCACCTGACCAAGCTGGTTGCCGAGGTGGATCCTTCGCGCCACCGAGACCATGCGGATAGGGGCTACAATGTCTCGAGCACCAACCGTGCCTACCATGAACCCAAGCCCGCATCGCGCCTGTCCGACCTGAACAGCGATGGCTACTCTTACACCGACCCCGCCAGCATGTACCGTGACACGGAGCCCGCCTGGCGGCGGCCACGTGCTGGAAGCATAGAGCGCAGTTCGCGCCCCGCTAGTATGGTTGCCGAACGCCCCCCACGCAGCTCGACCCGAGAACTCGGTCCTCCGCCCTCGACTCGAGGCTTTGACAAAATCAACAGTGCCCCGCGGCCGCATGCCAGGTCGTCTTCGAGTGACCGAAGCCAGGTGCCCAAGTATGACGCTTACCCAGACCCGCACATTGCCCGATCCTCTTCTACGCGCTCTCGAGCCCCCGCTATCCACCAAGAGCCCCTTCCGCCTCGCCGAGACACGTACCGCGACGAATACGATCGCCGCGATGTTGAGAACAAGCGCCATAACACGACTTTTGAAGATCGTGACGTCACCTCACGAGGATTCGGCATAGCCCCCGGTCCTCCGGCCCTGGCCCACGATCATCACGCTCTCGATCGTCAGCCCCTCTATCCTGCCCAAGAGCCTCTTCGGACTAGGCCTCAGGACCCAAGCACCTCGTACTACCAGCCCGAGCGTGCTGAGGCTCGCATGCCTGAGGCCCGCATGCCCGAGACTCGCACTTCTCGAGACCGCGACGTACCCCCTGCAGACTACGACAGACGCCCCCGTGAACGAGACCATAAATACGAGAGCAGCAATGGGTTTATTCCTACCGCTGCTGGAGCCGTTGCCGGTGTTGCTGCGACCTTGGGCGCGGCCGGTCTGATCAAGTCCCGTGAAAAGGACCGAAACAGTGACCGAGACTCGTCCGGAGAGCGAGAGCGTGAGCGTCGAAAGGAATACGACGAGCGCGACCGGCGCGACCGCCCTGACGAGCGCCGTGAGAGGAAGCCCGAGGGTCGCCGCAACTCCTTGGCACCGCCTCAGCCCGCCCCAGTCCCAATTGTTGCTGCGGCCGCCGCCGCGCCGCCGCCGCCACCCCCCGCACAGATTGCTGCTCCAGACTATCCAGCCTACCCTGACCCCGATGCACGCAAATACCGCGATCGCCGACACGACGAAGACGACAAAGAGAAGGTGCCTCTGAGAAAAGGCTCGTCACCCGAAGGCAGCGGCGATGAACGGCCACGCCACTACGTGGACCGGGATGCTGATAGGCGAAAGGACCCTGCACCGCAACAGGCTGCTGTAGATCCAGATGAGGAATACAGACGACGGATTCAACAAGAAGCCGAGCGTGCCAGCCGCAGCAACCGCGAGCGGGACAGCGACTCTGATCGAGACAGGGATCGACGAAGGAGGAAAGACGAGCGTGACAGGTCTCGATCCCGAGGCCCAGAGGAGCGTTCTCGTGCCTCTCCTCCAAGGGACACGCCCAGCTCCCGTAGTGATGACCGCTCTTCAGTTACTCACAATGGAGGCATGGTGCAGGAGCCTGAGACTCTTGACAAGGAGTCGGAAGCTGCTAGCAAGAGCGTGCAGATTGTCGAGCCACCCAAGGAGCCTGCGCAACCTGTCAAGGGCATTCTCCGTAAGCCTACTGCCAAGTTTCCAGAGGACCCCGAGCCTATCCGCGAGGGCGTAGCACCACACAAGGACGCTCTCAAAGGCAAGGACATTCCTGTTGGAGCACGCTGGACGAGGATCGACCGACGTTTGGTCAACCCAGAAGCCTTGGAACAGGCCAAGGAGCGTTTCGAAGAGCGCATGGACTGTGTAATTGTACTCAGGGTCTTGACCAAGGAGGAGATTCAAAAGCTTGCTGATCGCACAAAGAAGATCCGCGAGAGCCGACGTGAGTTGTCAATAACTATGTGACCAAGCCAGTTGCTAATAGATGTTTAGAATTGGAAGATGACGAGTACGACCATGAACGCCGCGAAAGAGAAGATCGTGAGAGGCGAAGCCGCCGCTCCAAGGACGACAGGGACGACGATGATCGCGATGACGACCGCTATCATCACGAGCGCGAACGACGCCACCGTTATGATGATGAGAGTGACTACGACGGCCGCGATCGATCTAGAAAGGAAGAGGGACGGTGATGTTGCAAACGCATTCCGTGCACAAGCACCAGATATTTCTAGTATGCAGCGTCTGCTTACGTTGTGTTGAGTAGCCGAGGAAAAGTCTTGATTTTAAGAGGCACAAAGAGTTCGTGAAGAAGACGCTGAAAAACGCATCGCTGCAACGAACCGCTACTCAAAGCCTCCCAAAGCGAAAAGAAACACCGTCAAGTGTGGAATGGCTGGAGTCACGGTCTGGTTACTGGTGTGGGCGTTTGAATTTTGCCCAACCACCGCTCTATGGGTCGCACCAGAGCTCCAGATTATAACGTGTCACAATCTCATTGCTCTACAATGCAGATGAGCGGTCAGAGTGTTTTTTGCCGAAGAAGAGCCGCATTCGTAAAGTACTTGGGATGGTTATGAAGGTTAGATGGTGTTGATAAAGTCCTGTTCCGCTGCGCGTTAGGGATGAGTTTCCTTTATTGCTTCGTAGAACCATGGCTTTTCTTTTACGCTGGGAGTAGGAAAGGCCAAGGGCAATGAGGCTTTCTTTTTTCTTTTTATCTTTTTCTGTACATACATATTACTACTTGTTTTTGAGTACCCACCTGCCTCCTCCTTGTCTTGGGGAACAAATACCTATTTAAAAAAAAACAAGACATTTATAACACAACAATACTTTGCCCACTTTTCAAGACCCCCTCCATTGGCGAATCAGCGTGCGACATTGGAAAAATGAGGCGGTAGTGTGCAATGCCATGTCCTGCTGTGCCACCACGTGTCTCGCCCACGGTGGTCTACTTACATACATCGATCTTCGGAGCAAGAGCGTGATTTGGAAAGAAAATTGGACTTGGGGCTTTATTGGATGCCGAGACGACACTATCACTATACTGGGTGGACATGGTTGGCATGTGGATATGCTAGTGCTAGTGCTAGTGCTAGTGCTAATACTAAGTAAAGCGCTGTGCGGAGGAAATGGGAAAGAGGGGCAATCTTGGTTCCATCCATCTATCCATCTATTGTTTTCGTCTCTTACTTTTTCTTCTTCTTCTTCTTCTTCTCCTCCTCCTCCTCTTCTTTCGCACCAGTTTCACTACTACTACTCTGGCTCTGGCTCTGGCTCTGGCTCTGGCTCTGCCACTGCCATGGTTTCACTGTGGTTATAACCCGGAAACGGTGACGCATTCTACGGACCTGCATGACGCAAGGTACACCTACAGCCACACTTGGGCCTACGCATACGCCTACATACATTCTACAACCGGGTAACTAGGTACAGTAGGCTGGATTTCCTTTTCTTTGCTTTTTTTTACCGCGTTGGCGCCAATTATCTCAGGGCATATGCATGTAGGCGTAGGCTGTAGGTGTGGCATCGGTGTGTGTATGCATGTGTGGTAAACGCCTGAACTACTGCAGCCGTTGTATGTGCTGTGCTGTGTGCTGTGTCGAATGAAAGAGGGGTAAGTAAGTAGTTGGTGGGTGGGGTAACAAGTGTGAGTGCAAGGGTGATTGGGTGCTACGTCATTCACCCATCTGTCCTTTTTTTGCTTTTTCCCTCCACACAGCCATGTGATGCTGTTGTTGTTGTTGTTCTTTTGCTTTTTCCGTCTTCGAGATCTTGGTTTTTGTTTGCTGCCAGCTTGCAGATTGTCTTGCGATCTGGTGTTCGTGAGGGGGTTTGTGCATCGGAGAATGGTATGTTGTGATTGTGATTGGGTCGGGCGTATAAAGGTATCGTGGATGTGGTTCTTGTCGTGTGTGTGTTGGCTATGTTGATCAGGGTTATGCTGGCGGTTGGAGAAACTAGGAGTGTTCATTTCGAAGAGTCACGGGCGAACGTGGTATCGCATATGATGAGACTGCTTAGATCTTGTTTAGTGCGTAACATATCTGTTCTACATTCTGCGTGCGAAAGATGGTGGACGTGTTGATGGTTTAGTTTGGTTCGATGGGTGTTAGATGGGACCTGGTTTAGCGCTGTGCTAGAGCAAGAGGGAAAGGGGTACATGAACCTATGTAGCGCAGGTTCCACGTGGTATCAGTACTGTCAACGCAGGTGGTTGAACCTGCATCTGCACAACGAGTGGGTGGGTGGTGACGAAGTTTGGGCAAAGCTTGGTAGTGTGCATGCAGGGTGGGCGGCTTGATGTCAACATGCTATGTAGCGTTGCACACCTACGTAAGCACCAGGAACAAATAAGCAAAACCTGTTTCATGCCGAATTGTGACGAACGCCAAATAAGTGTGTATTCAAGAGATTGGTAGGGCTTACGTGTAGCGGTTGTTAGATAGAATGTGAGAACTGCACTAGTTTTTTTTGAAAACGCCGGAATGCTCTTTGAGACGCCGTATATCTGGTTCAAGGGGCAAGCGTAGTGCCGCTAGACAAGCAGGGCCCAGAGTATGCGTATACTGTTTGTGTAGCTAATGAGGAAATACCAAGTGGTTGATGGTATCCGAGTTGAATCATTGAGACCACAGTATGACACAATCTCATTCCATTACTTGAGATGAAGATAAACCTTGTTCAAAGTCGTGTATTCGTATCAATTTAACCTCAACACAAATTACCCCTCGATACCTTCCATAGCCTGGATAGCCGACTCAGCAACACCACGAGTATGAGCAGGAATGCTCTCGTTCCGAGTAACGGCCTTCCACTGCTCTTTCCAGAATGCCCAGCGCTCCAGAGTGAAGCTATTCTCACCCTTCCATACACTGGCTTTATCCTTCACTATACCCTCCTTGGGGCCCTCTTTACAGCGACTGTACAAAGCCTCTTTTGCGTGCAGGAATACCTGTGCAGCAGCTTCAAGGCCATCCGGATCCGGTTTCTCGCTGACATCAACTTCCAGCCCCGACGCAATAGCCCATGCAGCCCGCTCAATGCCTGCGCCATACGATGCAAGCGCCTCATCACCAGTCCCAATCAGGCGTGCACCATATTCACAAGCATTTTTCCACTTTGTGACTTTCTCTTTCTGCTCTTTTGTTCGGTCTTGGCTACCACTTGTATCGCGCGAGTGGTTGACGGCGTAGCTGTTGAAATTGTCGGCCCAGATATTTGCCCAGCCTGTGAGTTCTTTCCAGTACTCTCCATCATCTAGATCGATGTGCTCTTTACCCTCGCCTTCGGGCTCGGGGCCTTGGGGTAGCGTTTTGATTGCCTTGAGCAACGTGATAATGGGCTCTTGAGCTGCAGGAAGGGCAACGGCAGTGTCGTTTAGAAATTCCCAGAGACTGTCTAGACGCACTTTTAGTTCGACTGGCGTAGGGGCGGCTTCGACATGGGTGGCCAGTTGTTGGGTTACTTGGTTGACGCTGGTTTTGCCTTCAAGATACGCTTGCGCAGCCGACATCTGTGTGGAGGTGATGTTGTACTCGGCGTATTTTGTTGCGGCATTGCTGAAGAAGTTGTCTGTCGTAGTCGTCATGATGGAAGATAGGATGGGGTGTGCTTCTCGGGATATTCGATTTGCAGGTGAGTGGAAATATTATGTCGATGAAAAGTTCCCAGTGGATCAAGGTGTGAAGATTTGTAGTCGGCGGTTAGGCAACTACGTGACTCTCTGCAGGTCTATCACGTGATGTAGTTACAAACAGGTAACAGGTGGCGATGCTGTATCCTTGTTAATCGTTTGAGACATAGGCAAGGCTGAGTGAAATGCATCTGCAAAACAGTGCAGGGGCAGAAACGTATCTAGGCATCCCGTCGGTATACGAATCTCGGCCGCCGAGGCTGCACTTTGTAGATCTTCAACTAAGCTTTCACGTTGCTAATGGCCCCGCATCTTGGGGTCGCTGTGGGTGGCCGTGGGTGGCCTATTAAACGGACGTCATAATTGCGCAGCTTCCACGCTGCGCCACACCCGTCAGGTCAAACTGTTTTTTTGGAAATTCCGCGGGAGTGGCCGAAGTAGATGCATAGTCCAATGCTTAGCACGTTGCTACATCGAGCTCTTCCATAGTAGAAACCACAGGCTAAGCATCTACAATCCCTCTCGTTCTACTGAACTGCCATGTACTTTGAATATACCATTTCTTCGCTTGGTAGTTATCGGTTAGACTCCCGTAACACGACCACAACCTCTTCTGAGGACACTGTGCTACCTCGTCATGTCTTGATGTAAATGAAACCGTATTGTTCGGTCTCCGAGGCATGGGAATTAGGCAGCCAATGCTGTGCGGAGGTGCTTCGGTCGTACTCAGGCATCCTACGCTGATCACTGAATCGCTACTCGAACGTCACTGGCCTTGTCGCTGGATGTTTGTAGAGCTACATAGGTATAGTGGGGAAAATAGTTAGGCCATGCCAAAAAAATGGGGCAGAATACAATTTTGGAAATACCATGCCTCCATACTAGGCCTAGCATAGGCTTCCAAAAGAGCTAGCGTGCTGGTGTTGACACCATGAAAGTCATACGAGACGGTATTCCAGCGGGCAGTGCGGGAATCACAAGAGGTAGTCTCTGGCCTGATACTCGAAAAGCAGGCGCTTCTCCATCATGACGAAACTGGCGGTACGCCTTGTTCCCAAAGAAGAGATATCAGAGACAAACGATTGACCATGATGGGGCCAGGGGATTCTCTCTCAAGTATATAGCTTGCTCAGTTTTCGCTCTCAATCAGCATCAATCAACACAATCAGCCAGTATTTCCACTTTCAAACCACATCACTACTACATCTCCCCAACCCATTTTCAAAGTCCTTTTACAGCCACCATGCAATTCACCAACCTCTTCTTCGACATCCTCGCCACTGCTACTGCAGTCTCTGCAGTCCCAACTCCCGTAGACCCGCGCTCCCCACCAACCATTCTTCCCAAGAACATTGAAGGCTTCCCGCCCAACGACTGGGAATGCAAAACGAGCCAAAAGAAGCCCACCAGTAAGTCCCCCCTCCCCCTCTCCCATCAACCCATATCCCCAACGCAATCATACTAACGCAACCGCACCCAAGCTGTGACATTCTCCGGCCAGTACATCAAAGACACAGTCGAGTTTGGCCTGCAGCTCCGCGACAATGGTGACAACAAAGCCGGCAACAGCAAGTACCCAGAGTTCTTCACGCACCCAGAGTCAATCCCCGGTTTGGAGGGCTACGCCGGCGAGACCAACATCGATCACTTTCCGCTCAACTATGACGGCAAGACGGTGTTTACCGGCGGCACACCCACCAGCGATGCAAGGGTTGTGTACCAGCACACGGTGAAATCTGATAATGCAAAGTTCATTGGTGTGTGGACGCATGCGGGCAGGAAGGATGGCAAGTTTGAGAAGTGCACGGAGAAGTAAGAGCGCTTTTTTTTGGGGAGGGGGGGGGTGTGATGGAGTTGAAGCTAGACTGGAAGTTTGTGTGGATGTTGTTGTCGGGTTAGAATAGATTGTCTGTTGCTGCTTTGAGCAATTGGTTTTACGAATCTTATGCGTTTCTTGAATGCAGTGTAGTTTTATTTGCTGTGTTTTTGCGTTTCACCATTCTCTACGAATTATAGAGGTTGACATGAAAACTGTTCCCTCTGGGATGATTTGCTAATCATGAAATTTTTTAATTGGTTATTCGTGGAGTAGTCAGAATGATATGTTAGAAACATCACTGTGATATTGACCTATCTATGTCTTGACAATACACCAAGATCGTCTTCGTCTCAATAGTGCCTTATGTAACACCCCTGCTCACCTGCAGTAACGCTACTAAATCGCTCGTGCAACGGTGAGCAGAATCAGCCGGCGCAACATTATCCAACTAATCCTCCCAGCATAGCTGCTGTAGTCCACCCTCACCAAACGCAAAGTCATTTTCAATCTGCATAAAAAGATACTGATCTGCCTCATCCAAAGTCCACAAGGGCTTTGGGCTAGTACTGGAGGGTGTGACTATGCCTGATGGCTGCATGTTGCGAGCCACAGTTCCATTGGTGGCTTGACTTTGCACTGCCTGTTGCATCCAAGCAGTGGAAGACGCAGGCGCGTTAGGTACTTGACTGTTGATACCGGCATTTCCGCCTTCATCTGCTTCCATGGCCAACCTGGAAGCTGTGTCGCGGTCGAGGTAGTGAAAAAACAACTCCACAACCCAGTTTGTTACTTCCCACGTCTTCTGAAGCTCTCTCAAACCCAACAGGCAGAGCTTTGCGCGATGTTCTGCCAGCGTGCGGTTGACTCCAGTTGAACGCCGAAAGTTTACCACATGGATGCATAGCGTGTTGAATAAGTTTGTAATGACATGCATCTGAGCGTGCTCGATATTTCCACCTGAAAGCATGTCTTCGACTATACGCGAATTGCGTGCCGCAGCTTGAAGGGCGACATTACTTTCTGTTGCTGCGCCGCGGTTCTCGTCCATGATGAAACTGGTCCGATGCAGAAGTATCAGTAGGTTGTTGTAGGCTAGATGAAGCATGCTAGCCTGGAGATTCGGTATATCGCCAGCACCGGGATTCAATTGCATTGCAGGGGGGACGTCGTTCTTCCAACTGTATAGCTCATCGCGAAGTTTGGTCGCGTCTTCGGGTCTCAGTGTACGCCCGGGCAAGTAGCCAGCATCGACTACACGGCCAAGAAATACGGCTAGCTGTAGCATACTTATGGCGTAGGCAGTCGAGCGACGGCGATCCCCGACTGGGACTGATGACCGGAAGGCATGTGTGAAGTCGGCGTATGACAAGGGTTCAATATCGCAGTCTTTATCGCGTATTCGACACGGCAGGCCCAGCGCGGCTGCACATTGTCTCTCGCGGACGTAGATTGCCCACCAGAGCCTCCTCTTGACCCTCGTCAGCTTTTCTTCTGTATTTCCCCCACGGCGATGTAGCGCCCGAGTTTCCGATAGACTGATAGCCGTTCCAAGCCAATGCCGAGCATCCTTTTCAAGGAGGGCGCCAGCTCTCCAGAAGCTCATCATAAATAGAGCCTGGATTACTATGATCTTGTTACTCTCGAAAGTCGCGTCGTAAATGTCTTTTGCCCGGATGTAAAAGAACCACTTTGCTCGATGACGATTGCCCCACCCGAGGTTATTAAGCGTCGACTCGTTGCAGTGTATCACGCCAATAAACATCATAGCCTGTAAGAGCAAGCCCGAAAATTCGAAGTGGTGGTAGGAGTTCCAGAAATCTTCTTCGTCAAGGATGGCGAAATGCGGGTGGAACCATTTGAAGTATGCCTCTAGTAGCTCTTGTCGGACAGCGGCAGGGGGAAATGAAAATGCTCCTTCTGCTTGTAAGGCCTTCTTCCTCGCGATGCGTCTTTCTGCCTCCCACTCTGGCACATGTGAATCTGCTCTTCCAGCAGTAGGCACGGCATGGCGAAAGCAAGACTCCCGGCGGCCGGCGGCGGCAGCGGTCGGCTCCTCTGTCACGTAACGCAACGAGCTGGACTCACCGAGGAACACGGCATCGTCCTGCTGGCTTTCATTTCTTGTAATATCATCCTGTGGCTCTTGCGGGACAGGCGGGGCGGTGAAGTGATGATGGCTGCTGGCGGATGGCGTGTGGGTGTTGGCGGGGCTAGTAAAGTTGGACGATAAGGACGCCAGCACGTGTGATGCCGCGACCTCATCTTCGTGGCGCTGGGGGCTGAAAGCTGATATATCGGGCGGACTGCTCTTAGGTTAGCCTCTGAATCCCATGCACAGTACCCTGGGTATCTCGACATACGTCCTGCTTCGTACTTCGGCCTCACCTCGCGGCTTTCTGATGTGCTTGCCGCGCCTGGATTCCCGTGTCTCGCACTGCACATCGCCGGCAGTACAGTTACTGCACGGCTGTCGCTCAGTGACATCGCACTTGACTCGTCGCGCATTGCATGTGACACATGCCAACTTGGCTCGTTTGCGCGGCGGTTCCGACATTCTGTAAGCCGAAGTGTGAATTTTGAAAGAAGCCGAAGTCGGTTATCAGGTCTTTACTAGGCAGCGGCTGGTGTCTTGGCAGAGTCGCGCGACACAACCTATAGAATGCGCTTGCTGAAGAAAGGATCACAGACTATTTGAGATAATTCAGACTAGTTAGCCATCATGCTTAATGCATAGGCAGATTTATCCACTGTTTCTTCTTTCTTGATACTCGGATTTGTGGCTGGGTTGAGTGAAAGCAACAGCGTTATCGATATCGGCTATGCGTCGGCATTAAGCACGCATGATGCGTCGTTCATTACACTGCACTTCAGCAGCTTAAAGTTGGTAGGGCAGCTCAAATGCCAGATTCCAAGGCCCAGATAGATAATCCTGATCATGGCGCACCTTGCCCGTCGGCTCTTCACAACAACATCTCGCAAACAAGCCTCGGCATCCGAAGCATGTGACGAGCTCCTCACTCGCTTCCAGCAAGGCCCAGTCTCCATCCGGAAACAACTCCTGGATGCAAACCAACTTCAGCTTCTCAGCATAACACTCAATCGCACGCCTTCGTCGTTCAATCCACCGCCAAATGGGACGCCCGTTCCACCAGGATACCATCTCATTTATTTCACCCCCTCCATTATCGAAGCTGAGCTAGGCTTGGATGGCACCGATAGGACGGTCAATCCGCTTAGCCCATTTACACGCCGAATGTGGGCAGGAGGCGAGCTGGAGTGGGCACAACACCGCAATGCGTTTTTGAGGGTAGGACAAGAAGTCCGCGAGACGACCAAACTTGTCAGCGCAGAGCCCAAGAAACTGAAGAACGGCGGAGAAATGCTCGTTGTGGGGGTTGAAAAGACGTTTTCAAACCACCATGGCATCGCTTTGACTGATCGTCGTAACTGGGTTTTCCAGCGAGAACTCACGCCAGAGAATGCGATAAAAGCGCCGCCTAGGCCAGAAGAAAAGCAGCTGCCGACGGGCCAGTACCAACGAGATTTTTGCCAGACGCCAACTTCGTTGTTTCGCTTCTCTGCTTTGACTTTCAACGCGCACAAGATACACTATTTGCCTGAGTGGTGTAGAGAGGTGGAAGGTCACAGAGATGCTGTTGTGCATGGACCGCTCAATCTGATCAACATGCTAGACTTTTGGAGGGATACCGTTAGGAATGGCGATATGGAAGCAGTTCCAAAGTCAATAGCATACCGCGCCATGAGCCCACTGTACGTCGGGGAACCATACCGCATTCTGTTAAATGAAAGCCCTGCACACCATGACGGTGAACGAGGCACTCAAGAGTGGAACGCAGAAATCTGGGATAGCTTCGGCAAGCAGAGTATGAAAGGAACAATACTTTAGTAGATGCATTCATTACCTGCTTATATTGCAGAGAGAAATACGCCAAAGGCCAGTTTACACCATGACCCGATTTATCTACAATAATTCAGTCCCGTTTCGCAATGCAGTGGCGTAAGGTCATAACTTCGACATCGTACAATTCAATATCCGTTCAATGCTATTCTTAGGCCCACTTGCCAAGAACGCTCATGAGAATTAGTCCGGCAACCAAGGCAGCCATCGCAGAGACAGTCCTGACTGGGCCTGCGCTCATCAGCTTGCCGTGCATCCAGTCTCTGGCCAGCATCTCCACGATACCGACCCATGTGAGGATTCCAGCGGAAAGAGCATCGAGTGTTCCAATGGCAATCAAAGTGCTGGGGTCACTGCCGTTGAAATGATCGAGCACGCCGATACCAATGCCCATACCAATGGGCGTGATGAGCGCAAATGTACCCGCCATGATGAGTTTCTGTAGTGTACCGGCCGCGGCCGCGGGAAGCTCAGCAATGCAGGTTCCAAGAGCGATTCCTTCAAACATTTGGTGGAAAAGAATGACAATGAAGAGGGTAACAAAGAAGCCATCACTAGCCACAACAAGTGTTATCCCAATGACTAAGTGCGTTAGTTGAGTCGTAATTTAGGGGGCTGAGCGAACTTACGGATAGAGTGGAAGATGATACCAGCCTCAAGGTTCATGACATTAATCTTCTCTTCCATGGGAGTAGTCTGGTGCATGGGCCCGTGCGCATGACCATGGCTGTGGCTAAATTCGTGGTTCGAGCTAGGGGCGGAGGAACCCCCGGTGGTCTTGTCTCCCCCTGCAGCAATGGAAACCTCGGTACTACTACTAGCAACATGCTTGCCCTGGCGCCACTGTACAAAGCGCGCACCAAGGTAGTCAACTAAGAAGGAAAGGAATAGGCCAGCCATGAAGATGGCCGCCGTAGTGCCTTCGTATGCGAGCCTGCCAAGGCATTCGTTCGAAAACATGAGTTGGGCGTGAGTGAAGAGATGGATGAAGGCAGTCGAGATGACGATGCCAGTACCAAACTGCTTCAAGACGACAAAAATAATGTTGTTGTCGCCGACGAGGTTGAACTTTCTGGTGAGGATGGGAGTGAACACTCCAATGGCGCTGGTAACGAGGATAACGAAGAGAAGGCCGACTCGAAGACCAATGTGGTAGTTACGGTTAGGGGCGTCACAGACTGGACCGGAGCTTCCACCGACGCAGTGCGGGATACCAGCGTGCTCGTGGCAGTGCTGCCCATTGTTCTGTGGCTGGTCTGCTGCGCCATTTGCGGGGGTTTCACTATGCGGTTCTCCGTTGCTGTGCGACTCGTCGCTTGCGCCACCGGTCAGAATCTTTACGTCTTTGCCAGCCTTGTCCACACAATACCTGGTGGAGTTAGCAAGATTCGTACAGTGTGCGACTCAGAATCACATTTCAGACGAGTGCGAGTGACAGTCTGTGTACTGTGCCTGGAATTGTTCTGTGGCCGTTGGCCCAGATACCTGGTACTCCTTGCCATCAGCCATGCACCAACTGTCCAAGTGTTAGCCAAGCAGTCTCTCTCCGACACTCTAGAATGGGCCACATACAGAACAGTCTTGTGTGGGTGGCATTCTGATACGGCAGTGAATGTGGTAGTCGCCGACATAGTCGAGACTGTAGCCGACCGGCTGGCCACAGGTGTCGTGACGGGCGCCGTCCTTGTCTGAGCAGCCACGGAGCCTGCCAGAAGCAGGGCCGCAGTCGAGAGGGCGGCACGCATAGTCGAAGGCATGGTGTAAACAATTGAATATACCAAACGAGCGAGCCGACTGGAATATAGCGGTCAGAGGTGCACCAGCGCAACCGTCTTGATATATTGTGGTCGAGGCTTGTTCATGGCGGGCGGAGCGGAGTCGAGGCAGCATTACGGGGCAACGCAGGGCCATTCGGGACACAGAAGAAGTTTTCGGGTGCCATGGATTGAGGCGGGAGGCGCCATGGATCCGCTTGGCATTGAGTACCGTGTTGGATGGTTTCCCTTGGCATGTGTGTCCATCCGAACTCACATCGAATCAAGGCGTGCACTTAGTCTTTCTAGGTACCGATTCCGCTAATTGTATGCAGCAGGGCGGCGGGAGTCGCGCCAGAACTAGAGTGGCGGAGGACTTGGCCAAGTCTTATGGTGCGTGGCTAGTGGAGCGTGTCAGTGTTACTGCTATCACGCGAGTAGTGATTGACAATTTGTTGAATAACACGTCGGTTACTGGAAAGGGCCAGAGTGGGAATCATTTGCGCGAATTCTCTGTCTATCCGTCCGGCCGTCGGTTGAGCTGGTAGGGGGTATACAGCACAAGACATAACTTGGCAACAATTGCTTGCACAGGGCCAAAGGATGCATAGTACAAATCAACACCACGAGCCTCATGATAGTTGTGACACCCAACAGTGAATGCTATGCGGAATGTTTCTGTTGAAATCCAGCGATGACCCACGGTATCACTGTCAGCTTTCCCGAAGCCAGCCACTCTTCCCGAAAATTGGGCTCTTGGTAGTGAGAATTTCTCTCCATTGGGGGCCATCATGGTACTTAGCCACACCTCAACCCACGTCTTGAGCGGAGAAATATGCATTCCAGACCCCACGCAAACAAATGCCAAGTTCCATCATGCCGACTGTACGTCAGGCCAAGCACTAGATCGTCTCCAGGTCCGCGTAGTGTAGTATCGGCTTCTCCAGACTGGTGATAGATCAGGAATGTCCCTGGGACTGTGCGGTTTGGGCGATCTTTCCTTTTACATCTCGGCGTATTTTCAAGGCCAGCTCGGAATATGAGCACCGAGACGAGCAGTACCCGCTGGTGTGAGGCCAACCAGGCAGGATATAAAGAGTCTGCAGCTCGTCTGCAAGTATCCTTCTCCAGCATCCAGCCTCTTGGGACTTCTACTGAACACTGGTTTGCCTCTCCAATCTCCAAGACTTCAATTTAGTCCCTCACGTCAACTCACAATGGCTGCTCGTGCCTCGGCCCTCCTGCTTCTTGGTGCCTCCGCCATCATGGCTGGACCCATCGCCGTCCGTGACACCACTGTCGCTACCACAGCCAACGTGCAAGCTGTTGTTGGTACAACCACATGGAACGTGGGTGCCGTTGACAGCTTCCCCATCCACGGCTCTTGCAATGTCACTCAGCGCGTCATGCTGGAGAGGGGTTTCAACGAGGCAATCGCTCTAGCTCGCCATGCCCGCGATCACATCCTCCGCTGGGGCCACGACTCTGAGATCTACACCAAGTACTTTGGTAAAGCTCCCACCGGTGAGCCAATTGGCTGGTACACCAAGATCGCCGACGGTGACAAGGCCGGTATCCTCTTCCGATGTGATGACATCGATGGCAACTGCAGCCAAGATGGTAAACAGCCTCGATTCCATCTCAATCACGATGGTTTGCTGACAGATATCAGGCTGGGCTGGTCACTGGCGTGGATCCAACGCCACATCGGAGACTGTGATCTGTGATCTCTCCTACCAGATCCGCAAACCCCTTGAGGCCATGTGCATGCTCGGCTACAACGTGGCCAACGGTGCCACCAACTACTTCTGGGGATCTGACCTTATCCACCGTCTCCTCCACGTTCCTGCCGTTGGTGAGGGTGCTGTGGAGCATTACGCTGAGAGCAAAGATGGGAAGTACCCCGCCGTCCTGAGCCTGGCCAAGAACAACGCTACCTTTGCCGCAAGGGACAGCGATGCGATCCAGTACTTTGCTCTTGAGGCATATGCTTATGATATTGCTGTTCCTGGCGTCGGCTGCCCTGGTCGTTACACTCCACCCAAGGCGTCCCCCACTGGCACTGCTACCCCTTCTCCTACCGTTAGCCCCTCCGCTACACCGGCTTCTGCATCTGCTGCTGCTGCCGCCGCCACCAGCTCTGCCGCCGCACCTGCCGAGGCTTGCCAGCCCCACGGAGACCACTGGTAAGACTCTCCTCACACTCCATCCTCTTGACATTTAGCTAACTCAAGGAAAAGGCACTGTCCTCCTGGCGTCCCTGTGCCTACTTCTCCACCCTCTTAAACGTTCTCTGAACTAGAACGGGTATGGGAATGGTTATGACTGACGGAATCATCTCAACCTTCATGTTGGGATTCCGGTATGATACCAAAAAATCACGATAGACTAATGATAATCCACGATTGCTGTATCTTTTGAAGTTGAGTTTTGTATCATCTCCTCCCCTGTAAACTGTGAGTTACTCGTAAGATATTAGTCCAACGGTTCATCCAAGTATGGGTATGATTGGTTTTCCAGCTGTTGCTATGTTGCCAAAATGTGGGCCATGTCACAATATCGATTGTTGTGTTGCAAAAGCAACTTGCATGTTCTGTTTCTGATTAACAACTAATTGACACATTTGACAGCATTCTTAAAGCTGGTCTGCAGTCACTGAGATATGCTAACCTCGTAGTGTACATTGAATTCTAGGCCAATGCAAGCAAGTGCTAAGGCTCGTTGCTAAGGTGTCCGCTTAGCCGCTTCTCCGGGTCGGGCGGAACGACGTTAGGCTCCTTCTTGCATTCTAGCCTGTTTAGGCTTAGTAGAGATGCTGTACACCTGCGACCTAACTGTGTACACCCTCTATCTTTCAATATCACTCAAAGCCGAGTGATCCGTCTTTTTAATTAAAAGCGAGTGATTGCAAGTCAGTGATGTACGAAGAAAATGTATGTTTACACAATCTCAATTAAAGGATTACCATGATCACGCCACTAAGAGACAGAATGGGATGTCAAAGCCATCAGCTAATATGAAGAAGCTACCCAAAGTCCCCCACTACTAAGACTTTGGATGAGATTTACTTTTGAACATCAGTCTAATCGCTAGAGCCCGTTCTTAGTTAAGCCTTTTCTGTTATATTCAGAGTGATAGAGTTTCCCAAACGCTCGCTCTCTCAGTGACAAAATGGCCATTGTGCAATAAAGTCATCTCAGGTAAACATTTCCATGCTTTAATAAGCCCTTCAAAACGCATGAAGAACTCCTGCGACGGCACAGCGCGTAATATCTTGTGTGATGGACCTGCATACGTCAACTAGCAGTTTTGGTACATGTAAAACCAGATTCGGAATAGACTCGTCAGAGCATATATTGGATGGCGCAGTCTCATGACAAGAAACAAACCCAATACTGATTAGCGTTGACAGTGTTTAAGCCAAAGAAGGGATGACGACATATCAGCGCAAAGACTCAGCATCGGTACCGTACAATTGCTTCAACTCTTCCGACTTGTGGCGCCATGGTTTAGCTAGGCGAAAATGTGAAGCACGCAAAACCGCAGTATCGTCAAAGAGCACTCTAATCGAAACGACCAGAAGGAGACGCGAGAGATACACTCATTGCGAGCTTGCACTACGAAAGCCATGCCAGCGGCACTGCGTGGAAACCTGCCCTTGCTGGGAAACGATTGGCACGGGGGCTGCATTGTATACACTTTGGTGCATGCTTTGAGCGTCACCAGAACAAAAACGGTTCGGATACGGGAACACTATTATTAGGCTAACCGGCCATTCTGACTCGATGATAGGTACGAAAGTCCGGAACGCGGAGATTTTGGCCATGCAGGGTGTAAGCGCGAACCAAGCTAGTACTAGACCAACATCGGGTCCCCATCATCATCACCGTCCTTTAATACAGCCCCAGGTCCCGTTTCTGACACAGCTGTAATAACTACTTCGACATGCGCTGTCGAGGGGCCTGCCGCATCAATCGAACGACAGTTTCGACGCTTCAAATCCAGTCTTTCTCGCATACGAACGCTATTACAGGATGGAAAATGAGTAGAGGAGACTTGAAGGAAGAAAAAGTTAAAGTCAGCTGGATGAGGGAGGGTTGGTGGAGAGCAGCCAGATCATTGGAAACGCGCGAAACTTGCAGTTACTCTAAAGCATCCTTTTGAGATGAACGCTCGAATATTCTTGACCGGACCACACGAATGGAGACTCACCATTAACGAACACGCCTTGAAGTGCAGTTATCCGAACAATGCCGAATTCAGTACAGGAGAACCTCGACGACTACGATGCCCCATGGACTGACCTTCATACTCTATCGCCAAGCAATCGTTATGGGCACGTGCGCTCTCCGGACATCCCACGCTCGGTCATTCCTACTTCAAACATCTCTGGATCCGCCTGTACGAATCGAGTCACACTCACCTTCCAAGCCTCATAGTACCTTTACCTTACCTGGCCACTGCTGATTCCAAAGTCACCGGTAGCCACATCTGAGCAGGACGAAGAAATGGGCCCATTCAAAAACAGAAATAACCCTGGAACATCTCAAGACATGGACATCTCCTGGACCTCCCATCTTTCTACACGTTTGGACGGATCTGGCTGAGAATCCTTTTGAGTCAAGGTCACCCATACATGCTGGTGCTTATGACCTAACCTACCAGCGATATCTGAGTTCTCATACCTGACGAATTCCTTTCCTACAGCGTGTCGGTTCCTAGGATTATTACCCTTTTTCTGGTCCATCATTCAAGTGTAATTTGGAATACTCCCTTTATCCATGGATCCACGTCCTGACCATGTACCCGGATACACGGCCATAGAACCAGGATTGTTGTTGCCATCGCCACCACTCCACACACTTCAAACTAAATGACTTCTTCAACAAGATGTCTCACGTCCCGCAAGATCTCGTTAGGAGTAGTGTATATCAACCGAGAGCATTTTCGACAACTGCCAAGGAATAACCGCCACGCCCTCAAAACAGCCGCATCATCCCTGGTTTTCTGAACAATGCAAAAAGGCTACACCCATCCTCGGCTCCGGAAATTAGAAGCGAAACTATGCAGGAGCTTCAATGAACCATTTAGCCATATCTAATCCGCAAACAAAACAGCCTCAGACATCGGAAAACGGTGTTGGTGACGGATGCTTCGAAGCATCAAAAGGCCGGTTAAATCTACTTGGAATACTAGTGCCCAACCCCCGGCTGCTAAGACAAACACGAATCAGGAAGAGTGCTCCATTACCCCCGGTGAGAAGATCCCCAGAACGCAGGATAGCGCCGAAGGACCATGCACCGTTTTTCCATTCCGATTCGACGCTTCAACAAGAATCGGGCTGAAGTCCTTTTTGGTGCCATCATCTCAATTTCCATCCGGGCTGGTCAAGCTGAGCCATACTCGACATGGAAGAATCAGCCTGGATACGAAGCCTAAAAGTGGACCACTGACACTGACCATCTGCTGACATGTGCAGGTATCAAACCGAGTTCTCACTATCACTCACAAATCTGGATAGCTGACCAGACGAGGCTCCGTCTTCTTGTCCTAAGAGCAAACCGATAACCGGCATTGCACGCGTGCCCAAAACGACTCAACTCGACTCCTACTGAGGTGCTGTTGACCAGATACGGCCCGAGAGCTCGAAATCAGGCTACATTGTTTTCAACCGCTTTGTACACTACAAGTCTTGGATTACACTTTCTAGTGGCTGTGTTCTCAGCTGCAGCAAGCAAGCCATGTACTGTTTGCTTATTTACTTGGAGCCCAACAAAATAAAGACACTTTGCTTGACCAAGGAGCGTTGAATACAGCAAAAAAAAACACTGATTTCAAGAAGAAAAAAATCATCGGATTCGTATCACAGTCTTCCCCCCCCCCAACAAATGTGGTTAAGAATAGCTGTCTCTTCTATCAGTGTTGAATAGCTCATCCAGGAAGATTCACATGTCAACCAACTGACCGCCATGGGGACGCGCGAATTCGACTATTGCTGAAAACACTACTAGCACATATCTCGACATGACGAAACGAAGCACGCAAAAAAAAGGGGGGGGGGCAATAAAACCACGAGGAAACGAATAGCATTCCCATCACTCTATCGATCAAGAACGCACTACACGGCCGCCATGACGAAAACCGAAACCCCCCGCATCATCACCCCAGATCCCCGCGGCCCCTCTTCCACCGCGATTCCATTCCATTCCAACAAATGAGCGACCCCTGCCCCCTCCCGTACTTCTTCTCCTTCTCCTCAATCAATCAGTTTAACAGCCACAGCCACAAGCCTTGCTAGCCACACATCCCTTTCCACACGCAGCATCCTGTTTGCAGTCGTTGAAGGTAGCGCACTGGAGCCACGCACCGCCGCCATCACCAGCAGCAGTCCAGCACCACTTTCCGTCGCCGGGGTTACCGCAGGCCTTCCAGCAGTAGTTGCCCGAGCAGCCGAGGCCGGCGTCGTAGTAGCATGCTTGTTCCTTGCGGGCAAAGATGTCTGCAGCACCTCTGATTTTGTCGGGCGAGGAGAAGGCGCGCGACACGAGCGATGCGTCGGGCGTGCCGTATGAGGTCTCGTAGAGACGGCGGTTTTCGCCCAGAGGGTGGTCGGCGCACTTGCGGTACTTGGAGGGGTCGGCGCCTTCGGGCACCGTCATGACCTGCGAGAGTGTGTTAGTTTTTTCTGGAAGAGATTCTGGGGAGTGGAAAAAGGAGCGTACACCGAGCTCGCCGCACTCTTCGATCAGAGAGGCGCGCTCGCTGAGTGCTTCGGCGTTGGCATCAGGGGCAGCGGAAGCCAGGACGGCGCTGGCGCGGAGGGCGAGCGCGAGGAGGCTAAAGGCAAACTTCATGATGGGCGATGATTGTTGATGGATGGAATGTGTGTTTATTGAGGTAAACAAGGCGAGATGGTGATGATGGTCTGGCTTTTGCTGAGATACCACTCCATCTTTATACCTCCTCCAGCGTCCTCTTTGCTCCGCCCTCTCTGTCACAGAAAGTTCCTCCGTATTACTATCCGACGGTCGACCGACCGCACGCCTAACGTCTCGCGATATTACCTACGTGGTACGGTACGCTCGAATGGTAGCATGGCCTGCCTCATCTCTTGGCCCCATTGCAGCCTCAAAAACGCAATATCGAATCAGATGGCCTAAGGATACAGGTATGCGCAGGTACCTAGCAGGCAAAGTGTAAGGAGGGGCATGGATCCACCATGATTGCGAGCATTTCGGTCTCCGAACGATTACGGGACCCTTTTCTTTAGCACTTGTTTAAGGCTTCCCACACGGGCTGTTAGCAATGTAAGGCGGGAACAGCGGGAATAAAAGTCCGATTGTGCTGGCCTCAAGGCCCCCAAGGGTCCATATGAGGCCTAAATGCAACGTTATACTTGAAGTAGATGGATCGCCCTTGTTTAACCCTATGTGTATGCTGCGGATTCCGAGCGGGCTATCATTTAGCCTAGCACAGCTGTCGCATTAGCTTGCATCGTGTCAAGTAAGCAAATGGAGGCTAAAAAGAGGGTTTAGAGTGTGTTGAGGAAGGGAAAAATTGAGGTATTACACACCTCTGATGTTTCGTGTGTCTGGTCGGAGACGTGTAGTAGGACCAGGAAATAGGGGTCTAAGCGGAGTTTGCAGATCGTCCCTGCGTAGAGAGGCTGAAGGTCTCGTTAGGCGTCCCGCCCCGCATTCCGTCTAAAATCTGACGTTGATCAATCTAAGTGGGCGGAAGAGGCAATGTGCCAAGCCGTACGGTGAGCGCTCCGGGCTGACATGGCGAGACCGGAACAGCGGCAACACTTGTCGGGAGGCCAATGTCTGCTTGTTACACGACGCCCGCGGCATGCGCACACGTTAAGTCTGCATGCACCCACGACTCTGCAGCTGAAGAGGATTGCCACTAGGCTTTTGTCTGTGATTGGCTGGATAGAATGAAACAAAAAGCAAGCAGAAGCCGAGAAAAGCAAGTGCTGCACGGCAGGTGAGTGATGTGAAATGATATTGGTGGGCGGCAAAGCCCAAGTTCGCTAATGATATCTCTAGTAATACAGGGAAAACGCTCAAAAGAAAGAAAAGAGTAAGAAGAAGAAATCTACAGTCCTAGTCTCGGACTAGGCTCAATCAGCTGCACCACGGGTGGTTGGCTGCAGCGGGGGAGCGAGTGTATGCGCAGCTGAAGGTAATTGGTGAGACATGCTCAACCCCGCTTCACACTGACTGTCGAATGTGGCTTGTGTGAAACGAGCCATCTCGGAGAGGCCAACTACTCGTGTGACGCGTTAAGGTTTGCAACCACTGCAGGCTCTCTGCCACTGAGGGATGGACCTGGCAGGATACCCCGAGGGGCTGAGTGTGCAAGCCAACGGGGGCAAGGCACAGCGTGGCCCTATGCATGTTTCTGCGGTACGGGTGTTTGGCACGACCGATCAGATGCGGAGGGGAGATTGGAAGTTTCAGAGTCATCGAGGACAAGATGCAACCGACATGTCACGAGGAGACGGGAAGTCCGCTAGCCATTCGAAAGAGCTCAAAAGCAAGGCCGGGCGTCTCTCGCACCATCATCTCGACGTCTGACCGGAGCGAGAGGCCAGGGTTGGCGCGGAAGGCCTGGATGATAACGTCGCGCAGGCCGCGGTCCGTGTGGAAGGTGGACTCGTATGCCTCTTGGCATGCCTCTGGGAATTCTGAGCTGCCGAGGTGCAGGTCGATTTGCTCGATGAACTTGCTACGCGCAAGCGCTTTCAAGCCAGCAATGCCATATCTGCAACGAACGGTTAGCCAATGCATGTCATGCGTAGTCGTGTCATGGTTGGAGAAGGACAAGAACGCTGACGCGGTCTGTTTCAAAGGCGCTTTCTCGACGCTTAGCCATGGCAGCCATTGGCCGAGCGTGTCATCGCAGACAGAAAAAACAGAGAAGAGGCGGGCGGCATGCTGTGGACGCGGCCAAAGAGGCCGTGCACCGCGGGCGCTGATTGGCTGCGCCGTGGAGTTGGTGACGCACATGGCGGCGGGGTGAGTCGGCGTTTGCAAACGCCGTGCAATGCACACCATCACGGGAACCAGATGGTGCTCATGCACACGAACAGCCACGCTGCAGGCTAAGGGGGCTGCCATGGCCCAAAACAAGCGGCAACATGCACATTGACTCGGAAAACGTGGTACTTACTTCTCTGCGATTGCGTACACCTTTGCGTGTGTGACGAGATGCGTCGACTCCACATCGAGCTCCGTGTCGGAGAGCACGCTCTCGACGTCGTCATCCTCGAAAAACTGCGCAGCCATGGGCGATGCCGGCATCTTGGCGAAGGCGTCGACGCCCTGCGACGGCTGCTCCTCTGGCGGAGGCGTCGATGGCATTGCGCTGTTGGCTGCGGCCACAAGCGCCAGCAACGGGTCTTCGATGGCGGCGAGGTTGAGTTTCTTGGGCTGGCTTGGCCGCGAGAATCGTGACGATGCAGGCCGGTTGGAGCGTTGTGAGGAGCGGCGCGAGAGTGGCTTCTTGCTGCTGAGGTAGTCCATGTGGTAAAAGTCTGCAATGCATCATCAGCATGGCCCGTGGCATTGTCATCTGCCGAACGCTGCTTACAGTGGATCATGTGTTCTACCGCTTCCGCGTCATCTTCGCTCAGGTCAATGACCCCGCTCTCTGCCTCTCTGAAGCCGCCTCGACAGGCGCCCTCGAAGAAGGTGGATCTGGTTGCGAGGAGTAGGCGGTGCACCTGGTATCTTTTGGCTCCACAAACAATGGTCAGATCTGAGTATTTGCCGCATTCAAACAGTCTGAGGGGACTTAGCTGGGGCTGGGCGCGAGGGCAGGATGCTACTTACGAAGCCAGGGCAGACTTGAGTTCAATCATTGGTGCGTCCATGGTGGAAGTGTGTACGACTATGTACTTGCTGTGTCGGTGGGAAAGAGAGAGTATTCTGATGTGCCTTTGTGAATTGGAGGTGGCAGATGAAGCCTTCTTGAAGCAGATGATCGTAGGACCCTGCTTTAAAAGGAAAAAGCAAAAGGCTTCCAAGATCAACGGCGGCGGCGCAGTTGTGACGATGTTGACGTTACGCAACAGTGCTTCTTAGGGGTACGTAGGGGTCGGCGAAGATCTCTCGGAAGCGCCGTGCGGATCCAAGTCTCTGGTAGGGCTGAGCCAGGGGACCGAAAAGCGGTGGGTGCCGTGGCCGGCTAAGAGTTGAACCGAGACGATTGAAGCCCTACTCGTACGTGTAGGCGGTGCGTGGATGCGTAGGAGTAGGATGGGCGCGCACACGTCTGCGAGTGTAGAGCAAGGTGTAAGCAGGATGGATGATGGAGTTGCATTGAAGCGGGACACTGGCCCTCTTGTAGTAGGTAGGGTTGCCCAGATGGTTGCCGCCATGGCAGGCTGGCGGCTTGCTGAATTCGACGATGACATGGGGCGGCCCATGGACAGCGTCCAGCCAAGTCACAGGGTGTCCCTTCGTTCTGTCGGCGGTCCAAAAATCGAGCTGACACGCAACGCTGTGCCAAACACACGCAGCGGCTTGGCTTGGGCGTAGCGTTCACTGGCCTGTGCAAGCTTCTCTACTAGAGCGACAGGGTCAGCAATGTCACGCGAAAGGCTAATGTAGCGCCGTGCCGAGCGCCATCTCCAATCGCGGTACGTACGGCAGCAATGGCAATGGATGCGAGGCGCAGGGGACTCTATGGGTCTGGCCAAGGGCAAGTCACCTGGGTAATGCACATACAGCCAACGCCAATTTCATTTGCTTTGCGCGCATAAAGGGCTACCGCAGGAAACTGGCCGACTGACTCCAGACAAGTCGGCGAAACGCATCTGCCGTCCTCCGGGGCGCAGCAGTCCTTGCTCGATGCCCATGCGGGGGGGTGTTGAGATGGCCATGCCACTTCTACCACCACCATCGAGCCACCGAGGCCTGCTCGTTTTGCGCCGTCTTCCGGCCACACGCCACGCAAGCTGCAGCTGTCGGCGGCGGCGCTGCAGCTGGCGGTACTGCTGGTGCTGGTGCTGCTGATGGGGCTGCTGCATGCCGTGCTTCTCCAAGCACATCTCAAACGCTGCTGCATCTGGCCACGAACAGGAGAGGAAGAAATTATGCCCGCGCGTCGACTTTCCTCTGCTCCAGTTTCAACCGGGCTGGCGTCTGGTCTGAGAGCCGTCGCGTGCGAGAGCGAGCCAAACGTCTCGCGCACCCCGCATATTTGACAAGTGCAAGAGCCGCCATGGGATGCGGGCTAGAAAGACGGCGGAGATGCAAGAATCGCAGCCAGAGCCATGGCTCAGTCTTACGGTCGTCGTGGGCTAGATGCGCGTCGACGGTCGGCGGGTGGCAACACCTGAAGACGCGTGGTAGACGACGCCTCCGCCTCCGCCGTCTCCGTGTCCGAAGTCGTAAGGGCCAAGGCTTCACGTGGAAAAGGGCCCAACCGAGCCGTGGGTGGCCAGCCACATTCCAGCCGCGTGGAAACCAGATCTGTTCTGATGGTGAGATGACTCGCTTGCAGTCTCGACGTGCCAGGAACAAGCTGAGGAAGAAGTAAAAGGCCACACGATTGGCAACCCTGTCGGCGGCAATCCTAGCCATCAGCCAAACAAGACAAACACAAAGGAGCGCGGCTGCGATTCAGCCGTACGTGGGCTGGCGCCCGTCGTTTCCAATTGACGTGTTTCAGCAGCCATCGCGAGGTCTCGAGTTTTGGTGTTGAGCGAACGGTGGTGGTGGTGGTGGTGGCGGCAACTTTTTTTTGCTGCCACTGCCGAGCCGAGCATCGGCTACGTACTTTCTGCTTTGGGCGCTGACATAACGGGGGGGAAGTGGAAGGGGGAAGCAGCGACCGGGGTGAGGGCGGGCCCGCCGCCTCGCCAAGGGCTGACGTCGATAGGCCATGCACAGGCACAACAAGACAAGCAGCTCACCACACCCACCCCTCCAAGCACGCACGCAGTTTCAGGTCCAGCCGGCGTCACTTGACCGTGTGCTCTCGTTGATGCGCGCGTCTACACTTTGTGACTAGCGCTTGTTTCTCTCCGCCCACACCCCCCCTTGCTGAGCTCCCCCCGCCTCGACCCAACCCCGCGCCGCTCAACCATGGCCGATTTCAAATTATCAGCCACTCTACGCGGCCACGAGGACGATGTGAGTCAAGCCCAGACGATGCACGAAACACACAGAGAGCCAAGCAGCCTAACAGTGCCCACGGTAGGTCCGCAGCGTGGCGTTTCCGTCCCCCTCGTCCATCGTCTCTGCGTCGCGAGACTTTACCGTACGCGCGTGGGCACTGCAGTCGACCAGCCCGCCAGCATGGGAAAGCACCATCAAGACACACGGCAAGGAGTTTGTCAACTCGCTCGCCATCGTCCCGCCCTCGTCGGCCTTTCCTGAGGGCCTTGTCGTCTCCGGCGGCAAGGACCAAATCATCGACGTACGCTCGCCCAGCAAGAACCTCGATGCCGACGCCGACGCGCTCCTCATAGGACATGGCAACAATGTCTGTGCCCTCGACGTTAGCCAGGATGGGAGGTACATTGTCAGTGGCAGCTGGGACATGGAAGCGCGACTGTGGGAAGTTGGCAAGTGGGGCGAATCGACCGTGTTGCAGGGTCATACTGCGTCGGTATGGGCCGTCCTTGCCTTTGACGCCAGCACCATCATCACCGGCTGTGCGGACAAGCAGATCCGCGTCTACGATATTGCAGGCTCGCCGTCGCCAGTGCGCTCCATTCAGGCGCCAGAGGTCGTCCGCGCTCTGTGCCGATTGCCAGACAACCACCCTTCGGGCGCCCAATTTGCCTCGGCAGGCAACGACGCTGTGATACGATTGTGGACACTCACTGGAAAGCAGGTGGCGGAGCTACATGGCCACGAAAACTTCATCTATTCACTCGCCGTCCTGCCCAACGGCGGCATCGTGAGTGCCGGCGAAGATCGGACCGTGCGCATATGGGAAAACAACCAATGTATACAGACCATTACCCACCCGGCCATCTCAGTATGGACCGTGGCTGTGTGCAAAGAGAATGGCGACATTGTCACTGGTGCGAGCGATAAGCTTGCGCGCGTCTTCACCCGCGACCCCACCCGACACGCTACCGAGGCGGAGATCCAGCAATTCAACGACGACGTCAAGGGATCGGCAATTCCGCAACAGACAGTGGGTAACATCAACAAGGAGCAGCTGCCAGGGCCCGAGTTCCTCACACAGCGATCAGGCACAAAGGAAGGTCAAGTCCAGATGATCAGGGAGATGAACGGCAATGTCTCGGCATACCAGTGGTCGGCAGCAGCGAACCAGTGGGTAAATGTCGGCACAGTGGTCGATTCGGCTGGAAGCGGGGGCCGCAAGATCTCGCATGCCGGCAAAGAGTACGACTATGTCTTCGACGTTGACATTGAAGACGGCAAGCCGCCGCTGAAGCTACCCTACAACCTGAACCAGAACCACTATGAAGCCGCGCGCAAGTTCATTGAAGACAACGAGCTGCCACTCACGTACCTAGACCAGGTCGCAAACTTCATTATTCAGAACACACGGGGCGCAACCCTAGGCCAAAGTGAGGCGCCAGGGGCCGATCCATGGGGCTCGGACGCGCGGTACCGCCCGGGAGACGCTAACCAGGTATCATCGGAACCACGGCCTACGCCACCGGCACCTAAAATACTGCCACAAAAGGAGTACCTCCCTATCACAGCTGGAAACCACAAGATTATCTTCAAGAAGCTCACAGAGTTCAACCAAGCACTAGTTGACGATGGCCAAAAAGGCATCTCACTGAACCCTTCAGATATTGAGCAATTGAGTGTCACTGTCAGTGCATTGGAAAAGGGCAATGGCAAGGGCATTGACATCACCGGCGTCGAGCTTCTGGTCAAAGCAGCAACGCAATGGCCAGCCGAGAAGCGTTTACCAGCGCTTGATCTGCTGCGGCTGGTGCTCGCTTTTGAAGATCCGGCTGCGTTCCTCGTGTCCCCTGAGCAGAACTTGTTGCCAAACCTTATCGAATCAGGGGTCTTTACTGGGTCGTCTCCGCCAAACAACACCATGATGGCGATAAGGTGTCTCAGCAATCTGCTCCAGACGGAAAAGGGGAGGCTTCTCGCCAGCACAGAGTTTGACAATATTCACCCCTTGGTATCACCATTTCTTTCGTCGGCCAACCGCAACCTGATCATTGCGCTCACCACGCTGTACATCAACTATTCGGTTCTTCTCAATTCAGAGAACAATGCGGACCGTGCGCTGTCGCTCCTTGACGACCTATCAAAGATTCTTACTACCGCCACGGATTCCGAAGCCGTGTACCGCGCGCTTGTGGCTACCGGCACATTGCTGTGTCTAGGGTCCGACTTTTGCGAAGCTGGACGAGATATCCTACAGATAGGTGACGCCATCACCCGAGCTGAGCAGAAGGTGAAGGAGCCTCGCATCCGGAATGTCGTCGCTGAGATTCGCCAGCGGCTGCAGGGATAGAAGCCAAGTGTGGCTATTGGCTACAAACATTCCTGCTTTGCATGCAAGTGGACATTGTACAGTACAGGATAGCAGACGAGCATTGCATTACATTACGCCAGGTGCTTTTCTTGGACCACACATAGATGTAAGGACGTGCGTCGGCATGACGCGACACCACATGGGCACAGCACATGCAACGGGCAGCAACACCAATGTACAGTTTACATATGCAGCAGCCTGCAGCCTAAACTCACATGCTTCGACACATGACTTTTGCGCCCATATGCACACTAACGCCATGCCTGCAGCCGACATAGTCCGTTGTAAACTAATCTAAAGAATGGTGCGGCTTTTGACCTTCCCCAGATTTTGGTGGAGGGCGCGCATTGAAGTCTGATACTAACCTGCAGCAATGCATATGCTGACGACGTCACCCAACAGCTAGCAACGATGACGACGACGACGACGACTACGAGTGCGACTACGACGACGACCATGACAAAGACACCATACAATCCCACCCAGCCTGCCCACAATGTCCTGCCCGCAATCCCATCGGACCTAGCTCCTAGAAAGGCAAAAAACAAAAGAAAAACAAAAATGAAATAGAACAGACCACCCCCCGCTTGCTTCATAAGACGAGCATCCTTGCTACTATTACGATCGTCGTCATAGCTGCGCTGCTTACGGAGAATGCTACATGTGCATGCTACATACTACCCGCTACATGCTACGCGCTACACGCTACTTGGCGGGCGCGCGCACTTGCGGCGTTATTTTTCTCTCTGTCGACCCATTCTTGCAACCCCCCCACCCGCCATTTTTTCGAAATGACCGGCTTTTTTGCTTTTTCTTTTTCATTGTCAACCAGGCAATTTACCGTGCAGTAGGGTGGGAAAAGTACAAGGAAATTCTGTGGGTGACCACCGTTTTTTTCCCGCCACTGAATTAATCTCTTTTTTTCGGGGGTTACTTTTTCTCTATACTATCTCGGAGGCTCCCTTGTCTACATTAGCCGATATGCATGAGTGGTTTGATTTCCGAGTCTATCCTTTCTTTTTTGGATATGTGTCTTTGCTTTTCATGTAACATTGTAGGTACAGCTATGTACCGAGGAGTGTATGATTACTTTTTTTTGTTCATCTCCCATGTCTTTTCTCCACTTTTCGGACTTGTCTACGCCTCTCTCTCTATCCCTCTCCTGCTCCCTATGTCCTCGTCTTTATCTGCATATCTCGTGCTGCTGATAATATGTACAGGCGCACGTTCTCCTTTGTGTTCCTGCTATGCACGCACAGCCAAGTGCTACCTTGCTCGTAGCTTGTTTTACATTGCATATTATTAACATGGCACGCACTGTAAATATCAACCCAACATCTATCCTCCTTTGATCTCGGCAATTTCCACTTTCCGACACGTGTGGGGCCTTTTTCTTTCTCTCTTACTTACGTGCTTTGCTTTTTATTTACATGGTTCAAGTGAAGGATGGGGTAGGTTTTGGCAACAGGCATGGGCCCTGTTAGGAAGTATGGAGGGTTACTTACTCGTACGATGGGAAAGTTTAAATGCCTGGATAGGGATTAGGCTATACAGTAGAGAGATGGGCGGCGTGCTTATGGGTATACAATCCTTGCATGGTCGCTGGACCTGCTCTTGCTGGACATGTACACACACAGAGAGAGAGAGAGATAGTAAGAGTGGGGGTTGAAGGACCAGGAGGCTCTCTGAATCAGGGTCAAGAATTTGGAATAGGCATGCTGGTGCCCATGGCGCCCGGTCTTCGTATCGTCTCTCGCCTTCTGACTCGCGACAATGACGACGATAGCCAGACTAAGCGGCGCCCCGAGTAGCTCGGCCCATAAAAGAAAAAGGGTTCGTGCCGTATGGGCCCAGCGTTAGCCCAGTGTAGGACTGGAAAGCTAGCACGTCTGTCCGTCTTACGAGCCGGGCGGCGCAATGACATCGGCATATTTGCCTCTCTCTGTCTCTGTCCTCCCTTTGTCGCTCTCCCATCCCCCCTACTCCCTGCTCCTATATTGTCCCAACGGCCGAAGCAAATACCAAGTCAAATAAGAATGAGGCTGCGTTGAAACAAGCCGGGAGAAAGCTTACCCGCGCATATCCGCGCTCCGTCCACCCAGTGCGCAATCCCGTGGTTCATGTGACAACAGCCATCATCAGCAAGTCGTTAGCAGGGCACACGTGCATACGAGTCTCTCTCTTTCTCTCTCTCTCTCTCTCTCTTCTCCTTCCCTTTCTGGGCACTTGCATTTCCCACATCCAGTTTATTGTCTGCCCGGAAGGATCAAGCTTTCGGGGGTATTACGAGCACACACCTCCCAAAAAAAGAAGAAGAAGAAGGCCCGGCGTGCGACTTCGTTTGCTCGTAGCCTGTTTTTCTTTGCCTTTCTTGTCTGCGCCCGAAACAGATGGAGCGATTCAATGTCTTGGCGGGCGCGTGGGATGGGACTGGCGTCGGCATGTCGGCGTTTGGGAACCGCCGACGGGGGCGGGAGGGGCAGTGGAGACGCGGGTTGCAGGGGCGGTTTTGGGCGTAAAAGCGCCAAGAGGCGTTGCGTAGGTGATGCGGAGGGAGATGCACATGCACATACATGCACATGCAGACGTTAGGGGCGGTGTGTGCGCGTGCAGAGGGGTAACGTTACGGCCTGGTGGTGGATGCGTGTTGCGTGTGCAGTCTGCAGCGGTGAAGATGGAGTCTGCGCGCGTACGTATGCGTATGCACGGTGGGTACTGTATACTGTATACTGTAGACGTGGAGGAGACGACTGGGTGAACTGGGGAAGATAGACTAGTATGCATGGGGACTAGTGTGGTTGCGTCTGGGGAGTGAGCACGTGTAGGAGATGGACACTCTTCAATCTCCACGAGGTCACCATCGACTCAACGCCACGTTTAGTCTTGATACTCGCAAATCTTCGTCGGCCTCTACTATGTTCATGGCTCATATGTCTATCTTGATTGCAATGGATGCATTTCCTGACGCCTTGATATCGCTGACGTCAAGACAGGGTCGAAGAATGGGGTAATAAAGGCATCATTGTTACGCCGGATTTTGCTCCACGGGAACTCAAAGATGTACGAGTATACAAACACTATGGAATGAATCGTCTGGAGTCTTTTTTGTACTTTCAATTATCGCAGTTTCGTTGTAACATATCTCGAAACACCACTGTATCTACCTCTTGCTCTACACTTCGACCTGACGATTCTCCAAAAAAAGGGCGCTTTTTACCACAAACCCCTCAAGTCTGAAACCCCCAACTCGATTGACCGTGCTGTACACGCACCTCACCCAGCAGTAATCATGTCCGGCAAAAACGAGCAAGGCTTCATCGATGTCAAGCAGAAAAACGGTATTTCCCCCCCCCCCTCTTCCCTTCTCAACCACCACCATCATCCCCCCC